CAAATCACCTTGATTCTTCCCATCAACGTACTACCCAGAAAGAGTTTCTTCCAGCAATGGCAGCTTTGCAGCCTCTGATAACTCCAGCGCCAAGGCTCCGTGAAGAAAAGGCATGGCGACGCGACTCTTCTACCAATTTATGCGGGTTCAACAACGATGGCGGCCATGATAGTAAGTCAAGATTCCTTTTTCCAACATTATGGCCTGTTCAGTTACTGAAGAGACACCGCGGTCCTGACTCAGTACACTGCTGACCTGTTCAATTTTTGTACTCAGGATCTATCGAATGCGGTGCTGGCATGTGCGCTGCACTTAGAAGGGACTATGGTAGTCCTCTGTGGGCTGCACCCTGTAGTGGACAGGGCATTTTTGAGATCCGTTTCCCAACCTTGTGTACAACAACTTGCACCAATACTGCATGTGTAGAGAATGCTTCTCTTCGAAAGTGGTGCGTTCACTCTTCCCCATATGCCCTTTTTTTTTTTTTTGTTCCCTACCTTGAAAAGGACGATCAGCAGCCAAGGTCTGACCAAAGCCGCCTTTATAGCACTGAAAGTCCCTATAATACATGTGCATTTGAAACATATCCAGCCCTCAACGTCCAGGCCTGGGGTTGTTGGAGTTTTTCTACGGTTTCCGATGGCTATACGCCTACACTGACTATGGAGCTGTCCTCGGAAGATATAACGGCCTCGCCCTGGATCATTTACGCCATGTCTCCCTTTGCTTTTGGCATCTCAACATCAAGTAAGTATCTCATGAGGTGGTAGTCCAACCAATTCTTTCGGTTTAGCACGCTAATATACACCCCTCTCGCTGCTTTTTAGCAATCTTGACCACCGTCTCGGCCCCGTTCACTGGAATTTCTTTGCTTGTAGGTGATACTTCTTCAAGCGGAAGGACCCAAACAACAGCAGTGGCATCAGATTCGGCTTCAAGCCCAGTATCCTCACCTACATCTTTGCCAACATCTTCGTCAACGTCATTGTTGGGACCAGCAGCTTCGACGGTCACTTTGATGGCCACACCAACATCGACATCGTCGCCTTCAACACTTTCCGGTAACGACATAGGTGCCATCGTGGGTGGTGGCCTGGGAGGAATTGCTTTCTGTTGCTTCATATTATGGTGCTGCCGCCGCTGTTACAAGAAGAAGAAGAACCAGAAGGCTCAGCGAACGACCGTGTCGGTCTACGATCCAACACAGGAGATAAGGCCTGAAGCCATCAAGAGTCCGCATAGCACCAGAGTAACCGGATCGTCAATGACGGCATACCATGCCGTGGACCAAAACGAACCCCAGTCCTACGCGGACTTTCTCCAAAGGTCACAGGCGTCGCTCAATACTGAGACACAACAGAGAAGGCTGTTGCATCCAACAGCGTCTGGTGAGATGAATCCTGATGTGGTGAGCTTCATGACACCAGCATTCTCGGCGCGCGACTCTGTGCGACCCATGGCTGGCCATCACCGCGACCACACTATCTATCCTGGCCGAAACGAATAATGATGATGAAGTATATTTTTCATAAGATTCAGAAGCAGGTGGCGGAGATATGACTCTCGATAGTAATTTCATTGCCTAACCATATACATATCCATCTACTCATCTTCGTGTATCTTTTCAATGAGCGGATTCCTGCACGTGGCATATACCATATAGATCAAGGCTAGTAGGCGCACGACCCAAGACATGTCCAACTATGATCCAGTGTTTCTAGCCACTCTTCTTCTTCTTGCATTACGGCTATTCGGAACATGTTTTCTTGGCAGAGCACATGTCGGACTCAATCGGGCTGGGCGTAGTAGAATGCTTCAAAGTGCAAAAACTCAGCCAAGGATCGACGTGTCAGCCTCTGGACAAATCACGTATGCATATTTCTGCAGTATCCCTGCAGTCAAGGAGCAAATGTAGAAGAATACAAATGGTCGTGTGTGTGATACAACATGTATAATTACCATCGTTCCATTTGATTCTGATCTTTTGATGTTTCAAGCGTCCGAAATAGCCTGGATTATTCTAGTTTCACGACCTAATCATTTCTGACTAGGATTTTCGCATGGGTGAGGGTACTCAGAAGAAGTGAGAAGTTTGACTCCATTGGCACACCAAACGTAAGGCTGTGTGCTTGAGACTGGGCTGCAGTAATCCCCTCTAGACTCTGGACCATTTTGCACTTCGGACCCCATTTTCAATAAAATGCAGCTTATGTTATAAACATTTCCCTAGCTAGGAAAAGTCGGGGGAAGGTAGAACGAGAATGGGTGTGGAAGGCATGGCCACCGAAAACAGCCTCCAAAGTCTGATCTGTCCCCGTCTGCTTGCCGCATGACAGCTACTCCTAACCATTTACACGGAACCGACATACTCTAGCAAAGGAGAATCTACCCGTTATCCTCAGAAGCCTTGAAATTCTGCTTTAACATTGTTATAAGCGCATACATATCCAAAGCACTTATCTTGTAGTATTATCTTGATGTGCAGCCTCTTTCAGAATGGAACCTGTCCCGGCCCGGTCGCAAGCATTTAGTAGTCCCAATATACCGCCAAATAGTCCTTCTCAAAGCCATGACTCCACTATGCCACCGTTGAAGGTCCTGTCACTCGGTAAGTCGTCTCCCGCTCCTCGCAAATACGAAAATTCTCTACTCACAATCAATGGGACCAGACGGAGGCGGGGTGAGAGGATTGGCAGAGCTGTTGATTTTGAAAAAGATCTTTACTGCCATGGCCAGGATAAAAGGCAATGTGGATCCTGAAAATGAACTCCTGCCTTGCGATTACTTCGACCTCATCGGAGGGACGTCAACTGGGGGGTATGTGGATTTCCTTCTGAACGCGTCAAGCCTTGGATCAATCTGGCAAAAGACATCACGTCAAATCGAACTGACTTAGTAAACTATTCAAGCCTCATTGCGCTCATGCTTGGTCGCCTGAAAATGAAGATATCTGTGGCCATTGAAGCCTTTCAGGAAATATCCGCCGCCGCTTTTCCAACAGACCGTAAAAAATGGAAGCCCTTGAAAATATTCATCGGCGGTGCCGTTTATGATGCAAAGGCTTTTGAGACACAGATAAAGAAAGTTGTCACGCGCAATCAACCCAACGAAGACCTGGAATTGATAGAAAGATCACCCAATCCCAAATGCCGTGTGTAAGTCTATCGTCTCGCTCGGTGACTTTTATTTGAATTGCGGATGCTGCTCATTCACAAGTTACATGGTTAACAACTATTCACAGTTTCGTATGCTCCACCACCAACTACACAACAAGCCCACGTTTGATACGGTCATACGCTTCAGATGATGACCATCACTTCCCCTACGCCCCTATAAAGGTCTGGGAAGCTGCACGGGCTACCAGCGCAGCACCCTCGTTGTTCAAGCCCATGACCATTAAGCGTCCCGGCCCGTCCATGACCCTCTACGACGGTGCCTTGACGGGAAACAACCCAATCAGGCAAGTGGTGAATGAATGCAACGGATTCGATCATGGTCGCAACTTCGAATGTATTGTGAGTCTCGGTACTGGCGTCAAGGGAGCCACTCCACTAAAGAGTAGTAATCATGTCTTGAAAGTCGCCAAGGTCCTCGCAAAGCATTCGTTAGATTGCCACGCCGCTCATGTTGAATTCTTATCTACAAGAGAAGGCCGCGGTCTTATTGACGATCAAAGGTATTTCAGATTTAGTCCAGAGCGAAATCTGGGTGAGGTCGAGCTGGACGGATGGGAAAGCTTCGATGCTATAACCGAGTACATTGAACTGTTTGCGATCGAGAAACGCCATGAGATTGAGAAGTGCGCAAGAAGATTGCTCGGCTTACAAATCGACACAAACATGCCTCCAGAACTAGGTATACACAATTCACAGCCCAGTACGGACAGACCTCCTGTAGCATCACGACCGAATCCAAACAACTGTCGTCATGTCTCAGCGCCACCAATGCTTTCGCCATCACAAACAAATCCATATGCAGAGCGCACTCGATTGGATGCCCTAAAGTCCTCCACATCGTTACCCATCGCTCTCTCGACATCAGCTGGACCAGGTCATGCAATCACTCCACGCCATGTCAACAATCTCTCTGGGTCTGGGTCGAGGCCAACGATTCGACGGCCCGCGACCACGATGCTCAGCTTTTCTGCTTTTGGAGACCGATCTCATTTGCTCACCACATTCGATAATGAGGATGCGGCAAAACATATAGGTGCGTCAAGTCCCTCTTAACTTTGACCGAAGGCATACGTGTTTATTGACGCCGGTTGTATTGCAGTTGATGAAATCAAGGAGGCCGAAGCCTTGCTCGAACGAGGCTCACTCACCCAAGCATACCACAAATTCCGGGAATCGCTCACCCTCGTGTACAACTCACCGATACCCGAGCGGCTTAAACTCACCTGTCATATTCACTTGGGCATTGCAGAATGTCGTATGCTAGCGCCAGATGGCAAGACCAAAGAAAAGAAAAAGGCCCTGGCCTACCTCGAATCTGCAAAACAACACGCTCTACAGGCTTTGGATCTAAAGCACGAGGCATCTCAGCCGGCGGCTCGGATGAGTCTGCTAGCAATTGCGATCAAGAAAGCTGAAATAGAAGCAGAGCAGCCAGACATGATGGACCCGGCACAGGTGGCGACCTTGTATGGGCAAGTAGTCGAACAAATTGATCTATTGCAAGAAAGGATAAACCGGGAGTCTGGCACAGAACAGGCCAGAGACTACAAGCCATTGTTAACAAGAGCAGAAGAGTGGCGGAAACGGCTGAAACTTCTGGGGCCAGACTAATTCTTTACGAATGACGCAGGATATCTATCAATATTCTCCTCTCAATTTGTTTTTTCGACTGGTCTGGATGCTTTACATTTGATGTTTTTCGCCGAGGCCTACTCGTGATATGTGAATAGGAAGCGGATAATCTGGCAGCCAGGTCATTTTCTTCGGCTATTGGTACAGAAGTCACGTTACACGGTACCAGCTTTCAAGAAGTCTTTGCATAGGATGTATTTCAATTACTCCCTCCATCGCTCAAAAACAATTTTAATGGCCTCCATTTTGCTGGAGTCCAGAGAATGATTAGAACTGAATTTTTCCCGCACGACTTACATACAATGAGTCTCATTCGTTTTTAAATGGTCAAAGTAGACGAGAGTGGGAGATCTCTACTACTGGAGCCAATATAAACCTGATACTCTCCCTCCTGGAGCAACCACTCTTGCTTCTCGGTATCCCACGTACTCAGATCCCGACGCGTCAAGTCAAAGGTAACATGCCCAGACTCTCCCGGGCTGAGCAGGACCTTTTCAAAGCCCCGGAGCTGGCGAATGGGACCATTGGGGATACCGACGTATAGCTGCACCACCTCGGCGCCCTGCACGGAGCCCGTGTTGGCCACGTCGGCCGACACCTGGGCCACAACGTCCCACAGGTCCTGCCGGCCGCCCTCGACAATAGGCTGGATAGGGTACGCGTCCGTGTTGGCTCCCGCGGCGACGGACGCGGCCAGGCCCGAAAAGCCAAAGGTGGTGTAGCTCAGGCCAAAGCCAAACTCGTAGCGCGGCGTAATGTCCTGCTGGTCAAAGGCGCGGTAGTCAATGTAGACGCCCTCGGAAAAGTCGGACTGGGGGAAGTTGGCGTAGATGCCGACGGGTAGGGACTCGTTCTTGAGAGCTCCATAGTCGCTCTCGTTGTGCGGGACCGAGTAGGGCAGCTTGCCCGAGGGAGAGGTGTCGCCGTACAGTAGGGAGACGAGGGCGCGGCCGGCGTCTTGGCCGGGTAGGTGGGCGAATATCAGGGCTACAGTCGATTGGAATGAGTCACGAACACCTACGTAGGGCGCGATTGTTCATAAACTTACCAGTCACGTTGGGGTGGTCAATGAATTGATCAACCAGACGAACTCCGGCATTGTGGAAAACGACAATGGTGTTGTTGCACTGGTTAGCAATGTTGAGGATCAGATTGTCTGTGAAATCGTCATGAAGTCTGTTGCCTATATGTTAGCAATACAGCTTCTCCTGGCTTGGCGAGAAAAGTAAACTTGAGAGAAAACACTAGTTGTCTTACCCTGGTCTGTCGGCACCCTCAGCGGCATAAGCATTGCCAATGACGATACAAGCATCCGATCCTTGGTCAACCTGAGAGTTTTGGCTATTGTACTGAAAGTCCCACCACAAATGGGTTCCGTCATCGTAGGCCCGCTGGCTCAAGGCCTCATACGGAGAGCTCAGGTATGCCGGCATGTTTCCGCCCGAACCGCCTCCTGTAAACAACGTACCGTTGGAGGCGATCTGCGTGGTGCTGGTGTCAGCCGTGGAACGCGCCTCCTCGCCATTGTTCCAGCCGGGAGTGCCCCAGGCGTAGCGGTCAAAGGTCCGGGCCGAGTACCCATACAGCGAGATGAGCTGCGGTGACTTCAAGGGGAGGGCGCCGTTGGTGTTCTTGACTAGGACGTGTCCCTCGATGGCACCCTGCAACAAGACTTCCTTGCTGTCGGGGCTCGTGCCAATGATTCTCTGGTAAGGACCGCTCACTCTGGACGGCATTCCTATTCCCGGTGCTGGGAAATCAGTGTCTTGGCTGAACTTGTACCACGTTGAAAGGATTCTGTGACACATTAGCAAGGTCAAAGGGTGAAACAGAATTGAAAACAGAGGCTTTCTTTTTACCTTATTGCCATATCGTCAATCCTGGACTCGGGCACGGAGCCATTGTTGACGGCCGCAATCAGGTTGTTTCCCCAAAATGATGAGCCTGATGGCATGGCCATGTCAAGACCAGCAAGTGCCGAGGCCACACCAGAGTGTTGAGCTCCCCAATCGGAGACCACAAAGCCCTGAATGAGAGATCAACATTGAGCAAACCACCAAAAGATTTGTTACATACCTGAAAACCCAACTCGGTCTTGAGGAGACCATTTTGCGTCAGACTATTCGCGCAACCATAAGAGTTGTTGAGTCGATTGTATGAACACATGATAGATCCAGTACCAGCCTTGACAGCATCTTGGAATGGCCTATAATACAATTAGCTCGTATCTTGGGAGAATTGTATACCACCACGACTCAAAGTGCATACCAGAGATATAGTTCATGCATGGTCTTGTCGTCAATGTTGGCAGAAACGGCGGCCACGTTTCCTGACGGATTTCGGTAGTGCTCTTGTTCATTTGCGATAAAGTGCTAGAAGTTTCTTTTTAGTGCATGCCACGCCTTGAACGAGCGAAGATGAGCAACACACCTTGGTGCTGGCCGTGACGCCAACGGACTGGATACCTTCAACACTATCGGCTCCAAGAGCACCGGCGAGATAGGGATCATTACTAAAGCCTGTAAAGAATCAGCCACGAATGATATCTTGTCTTGAAAACCATTATGAGAGACCAACCTTCCCAGTTTCTGCCGCCGTTGGCGATCCGGCCAAGGGGTCCAACGACAGGACCCAGGGCGACCTGGGCACCCTTTGCCTTGAACTCCTTGGCCATGCCCACACCTCGAAGTTTGGTCAGGTTACGATTCCAACTATTACAAATGTCAGATCAAAGATTCACCATCCAGCCGTGAGTCATGGCCTACCTAGCGCCCACGGCATTCCCGGCCGGCCAGGAAGAGACCAAGTTAGTGCCTCTGATACCGGCCGGTCCATCGCTGAGACAGAGGCCGGGGAAATCGGTGCCGTTAATGGCCGGGATACGACCGGCACAGCCATTGCCTGAGCTCACTCCGCCGGTGAGTGCGACCTGAAGAGCCAAATTGCGTCAGCCGGGCACAAGGAGGGTGATATCAGTGTGACTCGCTGCCTACCTTTTCTGCCAAGGTCAACTGCGCAACAAAGTCAACTGCCTTGGCATACGCATCTTCCCAGTCTCCGACGCCAGTGGCATTGGCTGTACAATTTTGTCAGTGTTGATTCCAAGGTAAAATTTTGTGAAGCTGATACTAACGAGACGGGTACACGGCCGGGGACTCGCCATAAAAGGCCGTGTCACTCGATATGAGCGCTTGTCCCGAGGCCTGTACAGCCAGAAGGAGGATTATAGGAGCTCTCATGTTTACACAGGCTATATCGCAATAGGATCGAAAGACTTTCTGAAAATGCTGTGAGGAACGATGATCAACTCGAATCAGACTCTCACAGAATGCGGCGAGGCATTTATAAGACGTCTGGTCCCGAGGTTATTTCCTCGTAGGGAAGAGAGTCACACCATCGACGACAGCAACATTTGGAGAAAGAAGCATTTTGGAGTATTCTGTAAGCGAACCCATGTTGTTCGTGCCATTCGTTGATGTTATCCTCATGATGTACGGATTTTCCGGGGGTACAGGGGGAAAAAGTAAAAAAGTTGTTGGCTGCAAGATCCACTTTCACTTCAATAATCATGCATGTGTCTGCCGGGGAAAGAGGCAAACGGTCAGGCAAGAGGGAGATCAGTCCCTTCATATTACAACTCGTGGTGAAGAAGTCCGACCGTTGAGACCGTTGAAATGCAACGCTCAGCTCGTTTTTGGCTTTCTTAATTTCGCATCTGTACCCATGAAAGTGCTATATAGTGAATTGATGACATCTCGCCTTAAAACACCTTTCCCATTACAGATAACTGCATCTACAATATCTTTGAATATATTGGGAAACTACGAGAAGGAGTCGACATGCAAGACATTCAGCCACAAAGCACAAGTCTCTTCTTGACTATCGAATACTGCATGACATCGGACCGAAATAAGCACATAACAAGCTTCTTGGCTTACACGATCTACAAGTCACGCCCTCACCACGAGTGGTCCGGCTTCGAACATGGCTCACACTAGGGCGATGCTGTATGATGTCTTGGTGTGCAAGGATCTTTGGTCTATTCACATACATTTCAACATCGCCAAGTTAACCCGTGTAACAACGGCATCGGCTCCGGCAAGTAATAAGCGTTGACTAAACCCTCATTGTGCCGTTAAACCCCAGCTTTGCCCAGCCTGAGCCCACCATTGCCTCCGGTGGGTGAGGGAAAGCGATCCGGAGAATTATGATTGCATGCACAACCGCCTTTTTTTATTCGATATTGGTTCTAATTGGCTCTGTTTCACACGCTAGGATCTGACCAAGGTTAGTGCCATGATTGAGCCTATAGAAAAAGTTCACTGTTTTGGAGTTGGTGGTTGAGTACCCCTTGGTCATCATCCTTCTCCGCAACGGGCCATGGGGCTGCCGGTGGAGGACGCAGAGGAGTGACATGTTTGATACACAGAGAAATGAGTTGAAAGAATAAAAAAAAAAGCAACTATCATGAAGCCCAACTTAGGGGTAATTATTTCTTGCAGCTTGGCAGTCTGCATCTGCCGGGTCGTGCAGAATGTGACGCTGCACTTTGTGTAAATGTACATTAGACGAGCTATTCTCGTGTTGCGGTGGTGACCATTGCTTAAGCGAAGCGGCGAACTGCGGAAAATGCAAAGGGAAAAGGGGGAAAGACATGTACTTTGTTCGGGCCAGGTAACAAAATCTCGCCCTGGGGGAACCCTCGGTCTCCGTGACGCTGGGCCCGTATGTAGCCCTGGACGTGTGTCCTGATTGCATGGTTCGATTTCCGAGAGCAGGTCCAGGTGATCCGTTATATTGTCTTCTGGGTGGGTAAGATGGAGAGAGCCGCATAGGTACATTGGGTAAGATCCCTGGGTCAAAAATTGGCGGAGTGCATATATTCCCTAGCCAAATCCGGGCCCCCGCATGTTCAGCCCAACGACGTGCTCTCGACGACATGGGACGAAAAAGACCATGCCAGGGTCTTGATTGGATAGAGGAAGAGGATAAAGTATGGTTAAACTCGGAACAAGTGATGCGTATTTACGCCTCACCTCGTGCACCACGTATCAAGAACGGACTGAGACGGTTTTTTACTAATGCCGAAGCTATTGGGTAGAAAATGACCTGATAGGTAGCATCACGACACCTATTCCATGGCTGTCCAGTCCAATTGCGACAAGATTATATGCTGCTACGTGCATAATTTGGCCGGCTTTGTTCCCATCCTTGCTTACTTCGTGAGATATATATCCCGAGGGGTGCATTCTGAATCAGTGCGTATGTCAACGATGACTAATATTCCGAAGAAGGGTAGGTTGGACTGGGAAATATGTCGAATAATGAGACTTGAACCATCACAATGACGCTGACTTTGCTTGATCTCAAGAGAATGACCACCACAAACCATCTTTCCATGTGCCACAGCATGATTAAATAGGTACTACACACACCACCTTTTTCAAGTGCCCGCCAAGTACCGTGCCGTGCCGCAATTACCTTTTGCCAAGAACAAAAAAGAGATCCCCGAATCGATGAATCGATGATGGAGTTTATCGAGGTAATGCTTACCCGGGTTGCAATGGCCCATGCCCGAAATGCAATCTTTGTCGAAATCTGGACAGATGGCAACAAATATTGACGGCTGAAATGATGGCTGCAGTGGTCATGATGTTACATGTATTGACTTTGGGTGGCATGTCTTCACTGATTCATCAGAGGGCATAGTCCATGGATTGACTGCACGACTGTTCTTGAACAATACTGTCAGTGCACACAAGTAATGATGACTAGAAACGTCACTGTCATTTTATCCATCTCTTAGGTTTCCAAGGCATGTCATTTGCCGCTCCTATACGAAGGCGGTGGTTTATGACCATGTTTATTTTCATCTCCTCATGGTCTTGTTTCTCTGATATATGCGCAAGGTCAAACGCTGGGAAAGTGCTGCAATGGACCTTCGTCGCTGCCTTTAATCTCTTCAGCTATATAAAGCATCTGGTGCCAAGTCAAGCTGTCCCACTTTCCCTGCCAAGCCGAAAGACATGCGGCAACTTTGGTATAATCAATCGCAGGCCGTACACGATGGCGCACAATACAGAGTAATGGCCAAATACATGTTGTGTGTGGCAGCGTATATTTGGTTATGTGTACTGACTTTTTTTTATTTTTTTATTTTTTATAACTCAGACTGACGAGCGTTCTTTTTCTTGCGTTTTTGTTGAGTCAAGACAACAAGACACTCTCGTTGTGTTGCAGATCTATGACCGGGAAATGGGTGCGGAATCCGATGTTCGGCGGCAGTGTTTTCCGCTCGACCTCACCGGCATAGGAGCCGACAATGGATATGACGTGGGTTGAGCGACTTTGTGCTGGACAATGCTATTTTTTATAGTGGAGTGCAATGATGAGGAAATTCCCACTTGGAGAGATTTGGCCACGATAAGTATCTCATCTATTGATAGCATTGGCAATGCGATAACGTTTGAGTATAAATACCATGTCCATTTACATAATAGCGGTTCTTGGAATGGGTGTGCGTGGGAAGAAAAGGGCCGGGTCCAGGTGGTGTACAGAGTACAGTCGCAAGGTAAAGCCCAGAGCTGTCGCATAAACTGGAGCTTACATATTCAAGAGGTCGCTGTGCCGCTAATCATTTTTAGTGATGCTGCAACACGTTTTTTTGCCAACCTTGTTTGCCTGTTTCCAAGACATGCAGAACCTGACCAATGAGGTCAAGATGATCATTTGGAATGGTTATAGTTTGTCCTCGCTCAATTCTGACAACTCTATAATATCTCACATGATGTCTCCGCGACTCGAGTGGTTTCAATCATTGACGTGAGCTCATCACCTGATTTACAAAGCAGCATTCAAAAGCACGCATTTAGACTTCCACCGAGCTATGCGCCAAGTCACCGATTTAGGCTAGATTTTCATCCCCGCAATCGTCATCTCGGCGCAGCACAGACCAGAAACGCCATGCAAAGGTCGAGCCGGTTCGTGGATTTTCCCCCATCGGTCCTGTTTGCGTCAGGGACCCTTGGGGCCACTCAGAATTAGTATGGAAAGAGAGAGAGAGGGAAAGGCGGAATTTGGCATGTGCTCCCTTTTGCGCTCTCTGCTCTTTGCACTGATGAAAACTCTCCGCAAATCGGCAGAAGCAAGAGTCTCGGACCCTGAGCCGGCCCCTCTTTTACTCTCTTTTTTCTTTCGAGCTCAAGATTTTGCCATTGGAGGCAGCGCAAGCGGACGTATCACCGAGTCGCAAGCAGCTTAACCGAATGCTCCGACTCTGTGTGTTGCGTGTGTTTTTATGTGGTTGGAGAACTGTTGTTGTTACTTGAAATTGAATGAACCTGGCCACTCGACTGGTTGGAACTTCCTAATAAAACCCCTCACGCGCACACGCACACTTGACACACATACATCCTGTGACACGGCTCCTTATATATCCCCGAAACGAAAGAGGAGAACAAGAGAGAGAGGAGAAAGAAAGCGAGGGAGAAAAAAAGACTCCAATAGTAACAAGTAGCGACGTCGTGTCACCGTCGTCCACTTCTCCCTTGAACCATTCCCTACCTTACCTACATACTAGTGCCAAATCTCCAAAAAGTCTGGTGCTTTCTTCTTCCACAACTTTCATCCATTCACATTCCATTGGAATCGTATCCCGAATTTCAATTGGCCCAGACAGCTGCGCCTAGTATACAATTTGCCAATTGCTATACCTGTCAGTCAGATCGCAGTGACAAGAAGTTGTAGGTAAGTAAGCAAGCAAGCAAGCAGAGCACCGGCCCGCTCCCTCCCCATTCGTCCACAACGACCGAACCTGTCCTGTCTGAGCTCTGGACCTGCAAACGACCTACCTCGTGCTTTGCGTCCCCGAAACCACCCACCCCCGGAACTAGCTAACCGGCTTCTTCCTCGGCTCTCAGACTGCCGATTCCTGTTCGACCACCTGCCCGACACCGACTATACTTTTTCTAGCTTCAGTATAAGAGGCAGGATTCTCGTCCTGCCCGTCCACATCCTGGTCAACATGAACTCCTTCTACGCTGCCGCCGCTCGTTCGATCCGGCCGACCACGACTTCCTTTGCCAGATCTGCCGCCCGGCCCGCCGCCTTCCGTCCCGTCCTGAGTTCTGCCGCCCGTCCTGCAGTCCCCGTCGCCTCCTTCCACTACACCAGACAAGCCATGGCGGCCCAGAAGATCAAGGTCAAGAACCCCGTCGTGGAGCTCGACGGTGATGAGATGACCCGTGTCATCTGGCAGGACATCAAGGACAAGTTCATCCACCCTTACCTCGACATTGACCTCAAGTACTACGACTTGGGTCTTCCTTACCGTGACGAGACCAACGACCAGGTCACCATCGATGCTGCCGAGGCTATCAAGAAGTACTCGGTCGGTGTCAAGTGTGCCACCATCACTCCCGACGAGGCGCGTGTAGAGGAGTTTAAGCTCAAGCAGAGTAAGCCAAGCCAATCCAATTCAAAAAGAATCCCATGCAATACAATCCCATACTCCAGCCATATGGCGGTTGCCCGTCAAGATGAGAAATTGCAGTCTGACCTGCATTGGTTCCTGCACCACGCGCTGTTGTGCCACCCCGCACTGCGTGTCTCTTATATTGCATTGCCCGTTATAGCCCCAAAATCTCACCGCTTCACTGGAGCACTTGTATGCACAATCGAACCCTATATCACTAACATGTTGCGTCCGCATAGTGTGGCTGTCCCCTAACGGTACCATCCGTAACGCTCTCGGCGGTACCGTCTTCCGCGAGCCTATCGTGATCCCGCGCATTCCTCGTTTGGTACAGGGATGGAAGAAGCCCATCATCATTGGCCGTCACGCTTTCGGTGACCAGTACCGGGCCAAGGACAAGGTCATCCCGGGCCCCGGCAAGCTGTCTATGGTCTACACCCCCGAGGGTGGCCAGCCCGAGGAGATTGAGGTCTTCCAGTTCAAGAGCGGCGGCGGTGTCGCCCAGACTCAGTACAACACTGACGAGAGCATCACTGGTTTCGCCCACGCCAGTTTCAAGCTTGCTCTGGCCAAGGAGCTGCCCCTGTACATGTCCACCAAGAACACCATTCTCAAGAAGTACGATGGCCGTTTCAAGGACATCTTCCAGGAGATCTACGACACGACCTACAAGGCCGACTTTGAGGCCAAGAAGATCTGGTACGAGCACCGCCTGATCGACGACATGGTCGCTCAGATGATCAAGAGCTCTGGTGGCTACATTATGGCATTGAAGAGTAAGTCACATTGAAGCAGCAGCAGCAGCAGCAGCAGCAGCAGCAGCAGCAGCAGAAAATTGCAATGGGTCATATTTACTAACCGACCATCGATAGACTACGACGGTGATGTCCAGTCCGACATTGTTGCCCAAGGTTTTGGTTCCCTCGGTCTCATGACTTCGGTTCTCATCACCCCCGATGGCAAGACCTTTGAGTCCGAGGCCGCCCACGGAACCGTTACCCGCCACTTCCGCGAGCACCAGAAGGGCAAGGAGACCTCTACCAACCCCATTGCCTCCATCTTTGCCTGGACCCGCGGTCTGATCCAGCGTGGAAAGCTCGACGATACCCCCGAGGTCGTCGCCTTTGCCGAGTCCCTCGAGCAGGCTTGCATTGACACTGTCGACGTTGACGGCATCATGACCAAGGATCTGGCCCTGGCCTGCGGAAAGACGGCTCGTGAGGACTACGTCACCACCACCGAGTACTTGAACGCTGTCGAGAGGAGGATGAAGAGCCTGCTCAAGGAGAAGTTGTAAATACCCCCCAATCTACCTGCTTGGGTTTGCGCAAAGAGAGATGATACCTTCGATACTTTATGTTTGGGAAACAGCGAAGGAGCATTTACGGTACTGAAGCTTACTGATTCGGTCACGTTCGATTTCATGGATTTACAGTAAAGGGGTTTGGTCTGCATAGCATCCCATTCTAGCATTCTCGGTGATACCTCGAGGACTGTAGATAGATCGCATGCTTTTTTGGTATATATAAGAAGAAAGCTCTGATTGAAAGGCCAAGTCTCGTTGATGTTTTTGTGCACAACTCTTTTCAGCTCAATTGCACAAATTGTATGCCTGCTGTGACATGATTGTAAGAAGCTGCATTGGCTCTTCTGTTTCTGTCGGCACGCGATTATGATGTGCTCGGGCGAACGGAAATGTTTCTCCACCGAAATTTTGGTAGTATAGTATTATGAGCACTTAGTTCCGAGAGTATTCATGACCGCTTCAACCTGTGGGCTTGTTACTTCCAAAAGCCATTGCGACTCAAGAAGGAATGAACGAGATCCATTGATATACACCGGATCGTATGGATATTAATAATATCCAAGTCATGAATGGTCATTTGTACGATTGATACTTGGTTGCACATGGCACTACATTTAAAGTATTTATTTATTCCGAAGCCCAGCCAAAGTGTCTGCGGCGCCAACCGGAATCAAAAAGGCGGGACCATCTGGGCCGCAGAAAGGATGCGGGTGGAATGCGGGGTGGGAAAGAAGGTGGTGGGGAAAAGATAGTCAGTTGTTATGAGAGCATCTGACCTCTGTAGGTTAAAATGTTTTTCCCCATCCATGGACGGTTTGTCTTCGGAAATACATTCTCGCAGTCCACGCCACGCGGGGCGTCTTGGTTGGTTGTCTTGGGAGGCTTTTCCAAGGGAACAGAAAAAGGACCGAGCCACAACCAAAATGTTCCCTTATTCAAGTTTCCCTGCTAATCATTGCGACCAATCATGTCCGCTGGAGGTCGCGATCATATACTGATTGGGTCCGGCAATCTTCCGGGAGGGATTTCTCGGCATTTGTCCGCGAGAGCTTGAACAGCAGCAAGGCTACTTGATTATGCTGGTAATAGTTGTGACGAGACAAAATATGGATTCCATGGCATGCATTTATATTGTCTAAGGCGTTGTATGTAGGATCCGGGCAGGGATTGTGTCTTCTCACACCTTATCGTTTGCTGATGGTCATCTCATCTTTTGACAGGAACTAGAATGGACTCCACCAATGCATGTTCTATATGGATTGTAATACTTGGCCTCAACGACCTATACACTTTAGATCATGAAACTACCAAAAGTTTTCCCCTGCAATAGATCAAGAGTGTACTTGAGTGACACTTTCTTTCCATGAGTTTGGGTCCTTTAGTGGCCGCGGCGCTATAATCACTATATACAAGACAATAAGTGTCCCCGGAGCGGCCCCGAATGCCTACATAACAGCAACTCTATACGTGCCGGGCAAAGTCCGCCGAAGCCCGCCTTTTGAGAGGCAATATCGTCTACGGTCCGTATTTTGGGGCGCCATGCTAGATGGCTCCGGCATATCGATTTGCGATCTTTTGGACGAAAGGGGATGCCCATGGAAAACCGTTGAGAGAATGCCTTTTGGCCAGAGACTTATAAATCCTGACTGGGCTCATCACAGTCGTACAGATTCTATGCGGATATTCTTCTTCTACTCATATTCATCTACAGCCTCATATCAATTATATTTGTACTCTCACCTCAGCCGCCTAGACTGACCATTGAGCATATCTGACCAGAATCCGAAAAAAAAAAAAAAAAAACATTCACTGCCACTTACCATAGTGACCAACCTTGCTAGAAAATGGGCTCATTAAGCACAAACGTCAGCGCCTCCAACCCGTTCCGGGATCGTATCCTGGCGGGCGAGGTTTGCGCCGTCATGTCGGTCAAGGTGGTGCTCAGCAACGAAATCGCCATGATGACCAAAATGGCCGGGATCCACGGCATGTTCATCGACATGGAGCACTCGTCGAGCGACCTGTCCCAAGTGGCCCAGCTCATCCTGGCCTGCACCTACGCGGGCGTTTCGCCGCTGGTCCGCGTCCCGTCCCAGTCCCCGTGGCACATAAGCCGGGTGCTCGACTCTGGCGCCGCGGCCGTCATTGTCCCGCACGTCGAGACGGTCGACGAGGTCAAGGCCCTCGTCCGCGCCGCCAAGTACGCGCCCCTGGGCGCCCGCGGCTGCGCCAACAACCAGCCCATTCTCCACTTCCGCTCGCTGCCGAGCCCGGTGCAGAACGAGGTCCTGAACCGCGAGACCATGCTGATCCCCATGATTGAGACGCCGGGGGCCGTGGACCTGGCCGAGGAGTTTCTGAGTATCGACGGCGTCGACGGCATCCTCATTGGCTCCAACGACTTGTGTTCGGATTATGGCATCCACGGGCAGTACGACAACCCCATTTACCAAGATGCCGTGACCAAGATTGTGCTGGCGGGGAAGAAATACGGCAAGCCCATTGGCATTGGCGGCATCGGCGGACGGGCGGATCTGCTGGAAAAGTGGTTTGCCATGGGCGCCTCGTGGTCGCTCAGCGGTGGTGACCAGGCCATGCTGCTGGCTGGTTTGAAGGCTTTGGGCGAAAAGTACAATGGCATCAACGAGCGGGTGCAAGAGGCACGCAAGTCCTCGTAGGGGTGAGATGGACAAGAAGAAGCTTGAGGGAACATTGCGCTACTTATTTGCTCATTGTATTTTAGCACATATCTATTTGAGTAGAGGACCCATGAGCAAAACTTGGGATTGTTCAAGACATATTTACAGCGTTCAATGATGGATTCTCAGTTCTGTGTTGGAAATCTGATTGAGGTGGATAATGAATCTGTGCAGGCTTTTGGAGATTTGAATACATTGCGTAGCGTGCATTCAGGTAGGGGCAGGATACTTTGATGGAGATAAAGAGATACTTACAGAGATACCCTGTAGAGACTTGCGTATCTCGTGTTTTGAGATTGAAGTGTTGTGATTCATGTACTGGCATTAAACAGAAGAAGAAAGACTTTGGAGCTCTGGTTCAATATACACTGTGCATGTACGCGCTTCCCTTGCATTCGCCCAGGGCCCAGGCCTATCAGCGCTGTTGGGGTCGCTCCGAGGTCCGCTCCACATCCACGGCCATGGGAAAAAGCAACCAACATCGGACACTCTTCACACAAACGGGCACATCACGTGGACATGGAAATTGTTTCTAGTTCACACCACGACTACTATCCTTATATGGTTCAATCGATGGACTCCACGCACGTATAAGCGCGCGTAGACTTGGAGAAACCAGCAGACTTCAAGAAAGACAATGGTCCGGTCCAGCTTCGGCTTGCAGTGGGGCCGTATCCTTTGGACACCTCTTGTTCGGGCGCACAGAGGGAAGCCGTCCGCCCTGGCCACTGCATTGCCACGATATAACAGCAGCTCTTCGTCGACTGACCGTCAAGCCCGAACGCTCAAGCTACTGAGGAGGCTATCTATGCCGAGCAAGGATAGCGACATTCAAGATTACGAAGACTACGAAACACTATCAGTGTTGGACGAGAGCATCAGAAGAGCAACAATTCAAGTGATTGGCAGAAATGGCCTGGACATTCTCGATCGACTAGACGGATCAATGGTCCATGAGGATCATCTCATTGCCACGGGTGGTCTTTGCCTGGAAGCGTATTGCGAGTACATTGGCGCCTTGTCTCTTGCGCACGCTGAAGCCGTCGTAAGGAAAGACAGGGCTGGACCCAGGGTTTGGCGATGGCTACAGCAGCCGATTGTTCAGGACCAAATCAAGTCGAATCATCGAAATAACGAGTATGTGTCTGACTGTTTTCATAATCTTTGTGGATACTAAAGTCCAGACTAGGAGCCTTTTGCCATATTTGGCCGCTGTCCTTGTGGGTGCTGGCCATTGGTCACTCCTTGAAAGCTGGCTAGTATCGTGCTGGCGCGCGCATGTCACACCCATTTCAGCTTCATCGGCGCTGGTGAGAAATTCCGACTATAATAGACAGCGTAAGGAGGCCTTCTTGCAGTTCAAATGGGGTGGTCAATTCCTCTCAGGAGCTTTTAATGCATTGTTGTGGTGGAGTCCCGATGGTTCAGCGGACTCAGTCTATACGAATTTCGTACGATTTTGCAAGGATCACGGCCTTGATCAAGATGGTGCCAGGGAAAATATCCTCTTGGAATTCCCGATCGTTCCATCCTGGGTGGCAATCGGAAAAATGGCCCACAAGGGCGTTCCCGCAAGTGGCATTGCGTTTGATGAATTGATGGAAATGTTCGAGATTCTTCTACCAGGTAACTCTTCGGCTTGGCCGAGAAGTTCTCTTTACCTGGTGCACCCTGAGGTACCTTCAGCGGACCCAGTCCTCAAGCTGTTAAAAGATGTCGCTTCTGATCCGAACCACAAGCTTTACGGATTCTGGGGGACCAAAAAATGGATTAAGGTTGCGAAATTCCGTCAAAGGGTATGCTTTGAGGCTGCAGACCGGCTTCGCAAGCAAGGGAGAGCTGCTGACGCTCAATGGGTACACGATTTCATGACCTTGCATTGGGACACAGGATTTTTAACGAAAAATGGTACGGCCGACCCGAGAAGGGGAAGGCGATGAGGAATGACAATTTGCTTATCCCAATATTATTCTTATATCATCAACGTACTGCTGTGAATACATAATTACCTCTTCTTCATTTCACAACTTGGGAATGCCACACTTCGACCAGACATGCTGATTAAATTTCAAAAGAATATATACAAAGTTAAATGAAGCTTTGGCAGCACCGCCACTCTAAACCCCCTGAAAAGGTCTTTTCCTGCTCTCATCTTGATCCTCCCCCTCCAACCACTATCCCGTGTTTTCTAATTGTATTTTGTTTCTGGAAAATGATATTTACAAGAAGTACCCCTTTCGGAGAAAAACACAATGCTCAAGACCACGACATGTATTGCAATAATTGAAACAAGTTGCTTACAGAGTCTGACCAGCGGAGCTGGTGACGGAGCTGGCAACATTGGCAGAGCCCAGGGTCTCAATGGTGTCGTAGGGGAAAGAGCTGGCCGTGAGATCGCCAGCCTCGGCATCGTTCTCGGAACCGCCCAGGTCGACATCGTCGACGGAGGCGTAGCCAATCTCGTCCGAGTCGGCCGACTCAATGGCCTTGGTGGCGCAGTTGCTGAAGGCCGAGCTCTCGATAAAGACCTGGGCGCCCATGCGGGTGTTGACGCCGGTGCCGAGGGCGCCGTCCCAGTAGTTGTTGACAATGTGGACGGTGCCGAAGCGGACCGAGGGCTGGCGCGAGTTGATGTTCTTCCAGTAGTTGTTGGCGTAGGTGACGTGCAGGGTGCCCGTGTCCTCGTCGGCGTTGCTGTCCGAGTGGCCGACCAGCGAGGCCTTGTAGTGGTCGTGCAGGTACGTGTTGGAGACGGTCACGTACTCGGAGGCGTGGGTGATGTCGAGCAGGCCGTCGTAGTAGTCCTTGCCATTGTCCAGGTCCGACGACAGGTCGCAGTGGTCGACCCAGACGTTCTCGGACGCCTGGATGCCAATGGCGTCGCCGTTGTCGGCCACGACCTTGGAGATCTTGAGGTTGCGCAGGATGACGTTGCTGACGCCCTTGACGTAGAAGCCGACGCCCTCGATGGAGCTGCCCGACTCTCCGTAGATGGTCTTGTCGGAGCCGACGCGGATCTTGGCCGAGCCGGTGAGGTCGCCAGAGACAATGATGGTGTAGGCTTCGTCGCTCTCGGCGTAGGTGGTCAGGTCATCGACCGAGGTGACAGTGACGGTCTCACCGGCAGCACCACCAGTGGTACCGCCGTTCTGGGTACAGTAACCAATGTCACAAGCATCGGTGGCAGCACGGCTGGCGATGGCGTTCTTGAGGTTGGTGGGAGTGGCCGAGGCAACAGTGGCCAGGAGCGCAGCAGCGGCAGTGAACTTCATTTTGATATGTATGTTTTTTTGAAAGAAAGACTCGCGGCTTGCGCTGAGAAAGAATGTGATATTTAAGACTCGTTGGAGAGAGTTTAAAAGAAGAAGTAAAGAATGAGCAGAGGTCAACTGTGAGATTGGCTGAAGAACAGAGGAAAGAACCACTACGAATATCGAAAGGATCACGGTCGTCTTATACACATATGATCGGGATATTTTCTTTTCCCATTGTCTTGGCTCATTCCCAGCAGGACCAAATTTGTTTATTCAACATGGGTCACATTTGTTCCACCACTCAGGGGTGGTCGACACAGGATGATCGACTGTGATGAGAGTCAGGATGCGGCGTGGATCTGCCAAGTCTTTTGGAATATATTCACCACGTTTACTCTGAGTCCCCCCTTCGCCCTACCTAGATGCTACTCAGCGGCTAGCTGCACCAAGACTTTTACTTTCATGGGTTGGGTTGGGTTTGCGGTCGGGGGGGTTATGTCTTCCCTGTAAGAAATCATGGCCGAAAAGAGTATAATATGGTTCATCACAGACCATATGCAGGACAGTTGCAGACAAGACCATGCACAGGTGACAGGCTACCCCATCAAAATCATCCCCGGGGCTTACGAATCTATCTCCGCTGTGGTTGTGCGGCTGACGGTCCTGCTCGGGGCTACCGCTGCTATGGAATACAGACTACCACCTACTACCGCTTCGGCTCTTTCGGTGCGTCGTCTTTTGGTGGAAATGGTGGAACCCAACAACCCCCCAACTGAGAAAAAAAAAACCTACGATTATATTAAAATACCAGGCCTTATGCGTCCAACTCTCCGAAATGGACGACGTTGGAACAAAGTCTTGGCAGCGCCTCTAGCCCGGGTTTAATCCCTGCGTAGCATCCCCAGATAAACGAACCTGTGGGATTCGGCCCCATTATTAACGGTAAGGGGCTCTTATTTCTGAAACAACTTTGCTAATAATGTATCGGTATCTTCCAGGCGGCTCCGTACTCAAAAATGGCAATGATGGGTCCCCAACGATCTTGAACGAGATCGGATGATGATCGGGCGTTGGGATGACCGAGGACGTGAGAATCATCAGCTCTCTATGTACATGTCATCGCGCACTATCGTCTTTGGACGTTATGGGTTTCCCATGTCCACATCTGAGAGGCTCTCCAAGGACACCAGACTCGAGAGCTTGAATCAGCTGACTGGGAAAGAGAGAATAGTCAAATCATCTCACTGCTTCCCTTTTCTCGTACAGTGTCACAAATCAAGTCCATTAATAAATGACCATGTCGTCATACGACCATGGGGAATACGGACAGATCAAAAAGCCTGACCTGAATCTAGGGGGCGTGGGCAACGCGTTCAATCTCTAGTGATTGCTTGGCTGTATCGAAGAAAAAGCAAAAAGAGACAAATGAGTGATGAGTTATTCCATATTTCGTGTTTCAACTTCGGCCGAGGAACCGGCTTGGCAAACAGCAGCGAATCCCTTTTTTGGAGCCGCCCCTTTGTCAAATCGATGCAGCTTTTTTCTTCTCCCCAAGATCAACTTTATTGAGGCCGTCACTCAAGATCTTCAAGTCGGAATTACCTGGCGGGAATCAATTCTGCCGTCTTTACAAGCATTCATGCCATCAGTTTTCCGCCTGTAAGAGGTCGAGGTTGAGTATTATGGACGAGCAGCTATCCGCGTATTGGTATCAAAAGGCCCAAGCTCACAGGGCGGGCGCAAAGGAGTCTATTAATCATCGTCACGTCTACGCAGCTATACGACCCTCGTGGTCAATGCAAACATGGCCAACAACTTTTTGCACGCCGAATTGGAAGAGAAAAATGATGATATTTCCGCTATTTCCGCCCTGTCTGTTCAATCGCGAAAACGACCGAACCCATTTACGTCCGAGAAGAAAGCCCTTTTTCTCTCACCATCAACTCCCTAGCTCCGAGTTGTGGGTATGTCCCCATGGTCCATCCAGAAATTAAACTACCTCCACCCAAGCCTAATATAAAAAAAAAATAAAAAAAAAGTCCCGCTGAATAATCGTACAAGTCCCGTGAGTAGCTAGATAGTGGGTTTGTGCAAGCCGTCGAAGAAATACCCTATAGGTCCCCATTACCCAATAGTCATTCAGCCCACACAATAACAACATCTCATACCATACTGCGCATACGTCCCGACAATGAAGCGCTTGCACTGGTGCTTGTCGCACTTTCTCGACTCGTGCCGCATATACTCGGTCGTGTCGGTCATGATGCTAAACTTCTTCTTGCCGCTTGTGGCCGGCAGCTCCTTGCCGTCGAGCGGCTGGCCGCACAGCTCGCAGACATTGAGCATGTAGAAGCAGTGCTGGTCAAAGTTGTACTGCGGGTCCTTTTTCCTCAAATCTTCGGCATTCTTGAAGAATGTCCGCTGGTAGTAGGGTAGCGCGCTGGTGGACATTACATTGCCCTTTTTCTTTCCTTTTTGCGTCTTTGCTGATTGACGTTTTGTGTGGGAAGAAACCGACAGACCATGTACTCGGATCTGGGTGAGGGTCTCTTTTTTTTTTCCCCCCGCTGCTGTCTACATGTGAGTCTTGGTATGTATGAGCAGGCGTGGTCCTGTAGGCTGACCTTTTTCCACAGCAAGAGATACAAAAACAGATGCGAATCTTGGCCCAGACGCTGTCAAGGTATGCGGAAGAGAACTCCCCCAAAAATCCATCCATCCACGATGAAACGTCGACAGTCACGTTAAGTACCTATGGCTTCCAGGCCTTGGTCCATTATCATCGATCGAGTGAAGAGCGATACCTCAGTCCAAGTATATGTGCCGCCGCTCAGCCCAAAAAGGGTCATACGTCGGACCACCTCCTCTCCCTTCAATGTGGTTCAACAGCCACGGGAGGGGACGAGAGAGCAAGAGGAGGGAGGCACGCTCGCTCGCTCAAACCGTGGACCTGGACCTACGCATTGGTTGCCCTGCTTGTGAAAAAAAAGGAGCCGAGAAAGCCACCTTGACAATGGGTTTCGTGGCCTGGTCATGGAACGGCGAAGAGGGGGGAACCAATCGTAGACCACGTCTGTGGCTCTATATCGGGCACATTTCTCCTTGATGCGCTGGCGGTTTTTCCTTTGTTCTGGCCGACAGTAGATGTTGCGAGTTCAGGTAGCAAAAGCCGGACCATCAACACTTCTCCCGACCAGTCAATGCCCGACGTCCTTCGGGTGAAGACTGCTCCTGCAGGTCCTGCAGCATGACAGACAGTCTGCAGCATACCGGCCTGGTAACTTGAGAGCTGTATGGGGGTTTGTTTTGGGGGGAGGACCCACGGGAAGGGCCTCGGCCGCCGTGCGGAGTATATGAGTCGGGTAGGTCAGGTAGGTAGGTTAGATGGGTGGGTAGGATTGTACAGTATACGCTTAGATCTGGGGTAGGTATCCGTGGCTGCTGTATTTTCGGAGGCGAAATAAACTTGTGGTTAGGATGGGGGCGGGAAAAAGATCCCAAGTATTTTCTCTGGAAAATGGCCCGAAGTAACGTCGATACTTTGGTCTTGCATGAAAAATCGACGACATGATTGCATGCATGGGGAATTTACAGACCACTCAAGCGCGAGGGTCGTCTGTTGTTGTCCGTTTGCCTTCTGCCTCGTGGCGCAGAATAATTGAACATTCGTTCTCACTTGCGAAGCCATGAGAAACCACAGACCCGGGGGAGAGAAAACACCATGGCCTTGCCGAATGATACAGCGGCGATAGAAACTAGGACTTACGAATGATGCTGTTTCTGTATCACTCGATTGCAAAACCATCACACCATATCACATTGGCAACGTCGATGTTGCGAGATCTGTGTAATATGATGAGGGCGGGATGCATCCCCGACATTGCGCGATGTGCTACACAAGTTGCGGTAAGGCAAGAAAAAGTCTCTAAATGAAGGGCACGACCGGCTTCATACATGGCATGGTGATAATGATACTGCTGAATCACGTCGCTGAGGCGGCAAGTGTAAGTACCAGTAGTACTAGGTATACATAAATTCATTCGAGTTTTCACTCATTCATGTCTGCGTCGCCAAGGACGGCCACAATGCTTTCCAACCAAGCGAAGAGCAACACGTGTAGACGCAAATGTCTGCTGGGCGCGAAAGCTCAACATCAATATATCTCACTCGACGGGTAGGTAAGTGGGTAGGTAATGTAGGTAGGTAGGTAGGTAGCTTCAAGTTTCCCCCCAAAGACGTCAATCGTGAGCAACGGCAAGGATCGGCTACAGCCGCTGCTCGGCCTAGCATCTGCGGCGTGGGGTGCCCAATCGTGATACAGCAGCAGTAGCAGCAGCATTGCAGAGTAGTGTAATACTGTGCTGTCACACGATATTGGCACCAAGGGCCGAGTCAATCAGAGGCCAGGCTCCAAACCTCAAGACAAGAAGAATAGGAGAGGATCGGCTCCAGTGCCTACCAACTCTACCGGTTCCTTGCGAAGCTTGAAGCTCTCTATAGAATTGTTTCACGGGGAAAGAATGTATCAATATCTGGCCAGGGGCCAAAAAATACGAGCTAAAACTCACTCTTTTGGTTTCCTTGCAAAAGAAACCCAACGTCTATCGATCCATTGCCGGTTTCCCCATAGAATAATTACGTCTCCGCGAAAGCACCCTACGTCTACTTACTGGGCAAGACTCAGCAAGTCTTCAATATACCTCTTTGTGTCAACACCTATGCCCTGGGCCAGCCTACTGGCACCGTCCATCCATCCCTCTCTTCCCTCGGATATCTGACTTAGGCTGCTATTTCTTCTAGAGGCGCTCTCGCCTGCTCGTCGGATTAGGAAGATCTCTTTGCTGACCTTGAGCTTTCTGCCTTTGCGACGGGTTTGACTCATCTCATGTGGCGTAGGCGTAGCTCCAGAATCGACTTCGGCATTTCCCGTAGTCGCAACATTTTCAGTCGCAGCAGAAACCACGCTGGGGAAAGCGCTACTCGCAGAATCGCCTGTCGCGTTAGAAATCTCAGAGTCTTGGCTGCTCTCTCCTGGCAACGAAGGTGGCGCCTTGATGTCTCCGCTCGAAGATATTGTTGTCTCACGACTCTCCAGCACACGCGTCCACACAACCCACCAGCCTCGACTTGTCTTAGAAGTCCGCTCGAGTTCGCTATGGTCATCTCGCGTCCCACCATAAGTCTGCAGCATTTGCATATGTGTACTCAGGGCCTCTAACCTGGTCCAAGTGCTCGGCTGCCTTGTCTCTGGCCTCGTCACCGATATGGGTTCCGGAATACTGGGAATAGTAGAATGAATTATCAGAGACTTTGGATCCCATATCAAGTCAAAAATGTGACTCGCTTTTGCTCCAGCGTCTGGCTTGCCGGGACGATACAAGGTCGACGAAGCCAGTGGCTTTCGCAGAGGCTCAAGCTGGTGGTGCAACGATTTGTAGAGGCTGTCCCACGCCAACGAATCTGTTCGATTCTCAAATAGAAAGGTATAGATGAAAGGCTTGCTGACATAAACAACCACTCGCATTCGCTTCGTCTTGTTGCGATCTTGGCTGTCAAAGTGCGAATTGCTGTCCATGGCGTTCTTCCGCCCGGATTTGGCGGCCTTGAGCTCATGGTCACCACTGCCCAAGTCTTGGGTCTTTTCTTCTTCGGGAAGATCGCGTGCTTCTTTTTCCAGCTCAACTGTCAGCGTCCTCAATCGTGTGCGGGATTCAATCTGTTCTTGGTCAGAGTCGCCGGCACTATGAATACTGCCGTCATCATCAACGTCTCCCTGAAGACCGATCAGGAAATGACCCGCGGCCTCTTTGGCGCTTTGCCGAGATGAGCTTCTAGCTTCAATTCTTGGCCTAACCACTGGCTCGTCATCCTTGGTAGTAGATTTGGTTTCAGTGTTCGTTGAATTCTCGGAGCTTCCCAACGACCAATGTGTGCCATACCCTAGCTTCAGATAGTTGACCAGTCTACTGGCACCACTGGCGTCCGTGGTATCTTTGTTGTCCTCCTGTGCGTCCTGTGCTGCCGGGGGTTCCTGAGTCTGGGGTTCATCGCCCTTTGCGTCGTTCGAGGCTTCCGGTTCTTGCTTTGCCTGATCATTAATGTTCACAGATTTGCGCCGCTGCCGTCTCGTCCTGGTTCTTGTCGAGGTGGGATTCTCCTTTACGCCATATGCATCTTCACCCCAAGTATAAATGTCCTCCATCCATCGCGTGAGATCGCGTAGTGAGTGTCTGGATAAAGCACCAATGCCCAGGAATATGGCACCATCCTCAGCACCAGGCTCTTCTCCCGTGCCGATCCATCTATGTTCTATTGATCGGCCCGCGGCCTCTTCTTCGGCAATTTTATCTGGGTCGGCTTCGCCGAATTTGGAGACAACCAGGTCCACAAGTCCTTCGACTCGATCAACAAACCCTTCGAGGACTTCACGTTCTCCACTGCCTCGATCTTCCTCGCCGACACCAACACCCAATTCTCCGCACGACGCGACCTTGATGCCTCCGAATACGGAACAGGCCGGGTTACCGTGGAGCATGACGTTCCAGGTCGACGAGAACAGATCCCAGTATCGACTCAACAATGTCACAAACTTTGACCTCTTTGATCGTACGAAAAGAGCACTAAGGGATGCCGCGTGGTGTAGGAGAAATGTCGAGTGAGCTCGTAGCAGATCCTGTAAAAGGAGCGCGGCTGGCTTCAATTCGCGTGCAGAGTATTCGACGTTTTCGGAGTCGTCATCGTCAACGTAACCGCCTAACCGCGGTGGAAGTGGAAGCCTGGTAAGGTCGATAGACTGGACAGACGAGAGGTTAGTCACAAATACACACACAACACACGCAATTTTCACACAAATTGGGCGCAACTTACAGCCAGAATCCACCAGCCCGGCTCCAATTCTCGGAGGACAACCCGTGCCTTTTGCGTCTCAATTACATCGATAGGTTTTCCTCCGGCGAATCCGCGCCCAAATTCAACCATGCCCTGGGCGAGACCGATCTGCCGCAACCGCTCATTGCGCTCGTCCTGCGACAGAGCCTCGGTAGGTCGCGACTTGGATCCGCGGTGTCTTTTCCGCGCCGTATGCTGCTCCTGTGAGCTCACCGAGGCATAGTAGACAATCTGGTCGTCAATGGTATCGTCGGTGGCGCCCAAGGAAGGGTTAAAGATGGCCAGAAACCCCAGCTGAGCCGGCACGACGACGGCTGGCTGAGGCACCGTGGACGTAGGCGTCATTGCGGCTCAAAAGCGCAGAGAGGGCGGGAGACATGCAAACGCGCCGGGCCGTCTACGGCAATTGGCGATCAAGGACGCAAGTCGGACGCCTTACAACTACTTGAGTAAGTTGCTCAAGTGCCGTGTAGAAGTCGACGTCACCTTGAAGTGAAGCCACAAGACGACGCAAACCGGAGCAGGTCAACAAGAAGTTGCGGTAGTAGCGAATATGTCACTGTTGGAAATCAGAAACAGCAAGAGAAAGGTAGGAAGGACTGAATGGGTTGGATTCCCAGGTCTATCTTAGCGGGGTTGCGACCAGCTGCGCAACAGCGTCAGACAGACTGTACGTGCTTGCTTCTGGACTGCCATTGATTGGCCCAAGTGGGCATCGGGATCTGGTCTTGTCCCCTACGTACTTCGATTCCGCAACTTGTACAAAGCAAAACCCGCGATAACCACTGGGGAAATCAATTCCGTCAAGCAGGCAGGGGAAAAAAAGAAGCAAAGCTGTAACATGCATAGGTAGGCAGTCATAAATCGTCGATGACTGCTGCTAAGCTCCTCCCCCGGCTTGCTGCCAGGCCACTTAGTTACACTAGAGGCTCTCGGGTGGGGCGCTTGAGGGATCGGGCAATGGCAGCGATGATCGTTCTTAACAGCCATCACGATCCCCTTTCTGGCCAAACAAACGGAGCACAAACTTCCTAAGGTTGGCGAGGCTGGGCTAAGCCAGCAAGCTGTGGCAGAGCTAGGGACCAGCCGTCACGACTCTTTTGAGTATTCTTCAGCTGAGGCCTATCTGTGATCTAGAATGCGGTCTTTTTTTTCTTCTTCTCAATCTTGTTCCTGGTAGCTGACTATAGGTTGCCCTTGTACAAAATCAATTAACTATGGTTTTCTGCCGAAATAAAGAAACGGCAATTCAACGGGCCAATTTCTAGTTGGGCGGCCATTAGTTAATTATGACCGCAAAAAGCCTCTTGCAAATTTCATGTCCCCTTTTGCCGTCGAAATAAAAAAATATTCGTCAGCGTGCCACAGGGGCCGTATAAGTACAATGTGTGCTGTAAACTCCTATTTCTCTTTTGACGCCTTTTTCCATGCAGCTGAAAATTGATCATCGGTCGTCTGGAAATGGAGTAGCTTGCCGAACTGACGAGGGTAGGTCATGGTATTTGACCTTTCGAAATGTAACGATGCAGCCGTGTCGGGCTGAAGATGAAGCACTAGTAAATCATTGTGCCCGCCTCGACGAAGCCTCTCTTGGGACTTAGCAGCCTATCCAAAGACCTATCCTGAGCCATGATGATGTAGTAGATCGTGGTCTCGCCCATGAATGCATCTCAAAGCAATTAACTCCGTGCCCCATGTCGTTAAAGAATTCATGTATGAACAAATGGTTACGGACGCATCTCCGTTAGAATTGGCTTCTTTCGTGGACGGCTAAGTTCCCTCCCTAGTGGTCGTAGCCGGCTCCGCGCTGCCATGGACTAGTTGTCATGTTAGTTGCCACAATCTCTTTGACAAATTTGAATATTGGTCCTTACCTAGCATTATGCTGTGCCCTAAATGCTGCAGGGTTGTTACCGTAGGGACTCGCTGGTCGGTTATTGTTGCTGTATTGCCCAGATGCTGGGAATAATGGCACCGAGGGGTCTACAGGCGAGCGCGGCGGGTTAGAACCACTGCCGCGGATTGAACCCGATCCATTTTGCGGGACGTTCATCATTGACGTGTCGGTTCGGCGCCGCATCGACTCTGACGAAATCGACTCATTGTCGTCGTCAAGATCCAATCCAGGCTTGTAGCCGCCCTTGTCTCCGCGAGCGGTGGCAGCAAGAGCGTCTAGCTCGGTAGTGCCGGTAAGCTGACTCTGGGACTTCATGAACGAAGCTCGGTCGTCAGCCATGAATTGGTATCGTGTGTCGGGGTTCTTGCGCCAGAACACAATGACGGTAGTGACAATGACCATGAGCAGGAGGACCAGAGCAAAAATAGCGTTGAGGAAGAAGAGAATAAGACCAATGACACCGTTGACCAAGGCTGGCTGGCTGAAAACGTCGGAGAAAATAAGAAGGAAAACAGAGTTGATGAAGTTGATGGCGGCAATCGAGATGTTGAAAGTGTTGGTGCTCTTGTCCATCCATGGTCGCATAACACTGGATGCTACAAGCCAGCCAGCTTCAATAATGAGCAGACCAACGGCCTGGGCAGTTGCGCTACCTTGGCCAAAGGCGATGAACATGCCCTTGATGAGGGTATAGCCGAGCACGGGAAGAATGAAGTAGTAAGCAGAAGCGCGGAACTGGATGTACAGGAAACCCCACTTGTTCAGGGCCTGAGGGTCCGAGAAGAGGATGTAGGCGGGGTTGCGGTGCATTGCGACTGATCGTCGAGCAATGCGAATGACCTTTGAAGCAGCCCAAGCCAGGGTCGCGCTCATGCCGAAGAAGAAGAAGACAGCCAGGACAACCTCGGCAGGCGAGTCAACCTGGGTAAACTCCCACAAGCAGAGGATAGTCATCTGTGGGTATCCAATAAGGGTCAAACGGAAAAGAATGCCCTTGAGCACAGTGAGCCAACCGTTGCGGAACTCCAAGAACGTGTCGGACTTGATCCACTTCTTTTTGGCAGCCAACTCGCACCAACCCTTGAAAGCGGCGACTCCCATAATGGTGAAGATGACAAAAAGACAGAAGAAGGTCAAGCCAGTCATGAACAAGTTGGTAGTTTCAATACCAGCCTTGAAGGCGACACGCTGAATACCATAGACAATATAACTTCCTGATCCGGTCTGAATGTTGGCCCGCTTGAGAAGAGTGTTGGCAGCTCGCGGAACCATGGCAACGCCACGTCGCATCAAATCCATGCCAGCTTGGACCGGAACGCCACGCTTCTCAACTTGAACCGAGACGGTAGTCAAAGTGTCGAACAAAGTGGCGGCAGTTCCACCAGTAGCTCGCTGGTACCATGTGAAGATGTCCTGCATGAACGAAACCTTGATAATACCCATCGACCACTGGAAATCCTGGGTCCAAGAGCGAACGACGGGAGGCATCTGCACAGCCGTGAGACCAATGATAGCCTGGGCCTGAAAGTAACCAAACAGCGACAAGGCACCAGAAGCAACATGGGCGGCGGCGTTGGAGTGACCCAAACCGTTGATGATGGCGGAAGAGACTAGGGCCAGGCCGGCGATAATAGCGAGAGCCCATTTCACTCCGATCAAGTCTACCGTCTTGCCGTTGGAAATATCAGCTTCGACACAGGCGACACTCTTGCCTGTGTCCGTCATGTTCAAATAAACACGGACTGTGGCGTCCAAGTCGGGAAAGGTGTACGCGATACCAGGAATCTGAGAAGCCGCTTCATCGCCAACGGGCAAGTTGAAGTTCAGAGGAATCTTTCCAGCAGTCATGGGACACAGACCAGCAAGATCGATCTCGCAAGGGTTAACAGTCTGGCGAATAATCTGGTAGCCATAGGCGGAAATCGATACATCGAATACAACGTTTCCTTCAACCGAAGAAGTGGCAACAATGTCTACAGATGCGGTGTTGTTGTTGGGCGTGTAAACGACATTGAATAAACTGGCTGTGAAACTCGAATCGTCCTGGCAGGTGTTCAAGGAGCTCGACGTAAGCATTGGCTCTGCGGCTACGAAAGCCGAGAGGCAGGAGAAGAGGGCAATGCGCCCTAATGATGAGAACCTCATGTTGACTATATTTTGTAATCGGTGCTTTGCTTTGGCGGAGAGATGATGGGCAGGTTAAGTGCGCGTCTCTCCGCAAATCAAAGTAGCCTGCGCCGCGGGTCGCACTAGTAAATATCTGTAATGCCTGTGATGCAGTGTCGTTTTGAGGTCGCCAATCACATTCGGTAATTTGATTCAAGATCGAAAGGGTCCTTAGTGTACGTAAAAGATGTTGTTGTTGTTGTTGTTGTAGTGGTGGTAGTAGAAAGGTCGGTAGAAAGAAGAAGGAACTGTGATTGAGAGCGAGGGTGGTCTGTGAGTTGTTTGGTTGAAGGTTGGTTAGATCTGTTTGTCGTAGAATCGGGAATTCCTCGTGCGGTCTAGGTATCGATTTGATCGCAACTTGTTGGTATCCTGTCCTTTGTCCCAATTGAGACAGTCTTTGCCAACTCTTGGCTGAGAAAACGAGCGCTGCGGTGGTACGTCACCAAATGGGGGAGAGTCGAAAAAAGGGGGCTGGAAACCTGGATTAACGAAAGGTAGAAAGGTGTGGTTTTTTTTATGGATTTTCCCGTCGTTGTCAATCAAACCGCAGACATCCAGCAGAGAAGACGATGATCAACCCGTTTCTCTGAAAGGGCGCCTTCTCTCGTGTGAATTGTGGTGGTTTGCGGTCGAAAGATTTGGGGGAATGAATCCAAGAATAGTGGAGTGGGAAAGAGTGAAAGAAGTTGTTCCAGGCAAGACAAGGCAAAGGCAAGGCCTGGAAGGGTGTTTGACACAAGAGTACGAGACAATGGATCAGGTCAGGTCGTCTCGATTGCAGGCTAGAGAAGGGGAGGGGGGGTTCCCTCGTCCGGGTATGAAGAGTGGATGAAAGGAGGGTCGATGGTCACCTCGAGCGACAGGGGCATCTGCCACTAGAAGACGGGGGTCGGCCTTGGATCTTGGCCCACTCGCTGCAAGTCCAAGCAGTGGCAGCAGCACAGCAGCACAGCAGCAGTAGAAGCGCGCTGGAACGAACTGCCAGAGACGCCCAGAGGTGGAACCGCCGCCCAGGGCCGCCCAGGAATGGAGTACATTTGCTCAAATTACGCATTTGACTGCACTAGTTGAACTGTGTGGTGGCTGTATTCCGTTTTGATGTTTTGGCATTTGCCAGAGCGTAATGTAACTCTCTTATTTCCCCTGAGCGAATCTGCTACAGCACTAACAAACTGTTTCTGTCTTTTGTCTGGACATTGATAAAGCCTCATCGCTCAGATTGCCCTAGATACTTGGCTTGGCGGTCGTAGTACATTGCACATCGTCCTCTCCCGTCCCATTCTCCCCCGGCAACTCAGGCTCGCGAGATCCAAGAGCCTTGGCTTTTTTCTTTAATGGCTTGCGGGCGAGCAATCAATCATTCAATCAGCAATGGCATTGAAGCATGGGTTGTCTTTGGCCGGATATCCGTAATAATAAGCATCAGCAGCAATACGAATAATTGAATGTGCATAAGATCTTTGGTCCTTCTCGTGTGTGCATAAACGGACTGAACCAACCGCGCTCCCAAGCTCCCCTTGAGGGTCGCACATTGATTAGCGCTCCCGTCATTGTACAAGCGCACATTTTCACGAGCAGCACCGTTACATATGGATACCGTTTTAGCCATAAGAAAGAAGAAGAAGAATCACTCGCCGCCGCCGTTCACTAGAACAAAGGCAATAATACTCGTATTTTACCTGGGCACGCAGACTAAATTCACACACACATGCAAGAATAGCGCCTTGTCCGATCACCTGTCCGCCACTCGAGTTGCTCAGGTGAACAAAACAAGAAAAAGCCTGAAATGGTTGCACAATTGGCTCATGGCAGTTGGCAGCAACGATCAATGACGCAGTGCCCACCATCATGCAGCGCTGCGTCCCATATCCAACCACTGAAACAAGAATGGACATCTGATGACAGCTTCTTTCAGACCTTCTATTTTTTCCACCATCCGATTACAGATACAGTATTTTCAAATAGAGCTGCCGGCGATCTTTACCCCCCTCCGCAATCCATATTTGCCCATCAGGGCCATCACCAGTCCAACGCAGCCTGGCCAGTTTGTCGCTCCGTCATCCATTCCCCCTCTTCCCCCAAAATAAAACAAGAACCCCGTGCATACATAACATCAACAACAAACAAGCAGCAGGCTACGATCCATCCGTCCAATCCTAGAATCATGCGAGCATTAAATGCCGCCTCGGAAACCCCCAAGCCATTTAGTAGGTTGCTTGGCTAAAATGACATCGCGTTGCCAGGCTCTGCGGCACATGTATCTAGCTCTGCGACACGGCGTGTTTGGGTCCCGGGGCCAGCAGATCATTGATCTGCCCAGCGCCAACCAACCATCAGCGACGGTTGTCCATTGCAAAACCCTCGGGGCCTTGCCAAACCTGCGTCGCTCGACACTTGCGAAGCTCAAGTGCCTTGCACTGCCACCTTCGAGCTGCCAGAAACGCGCTACGTCCGGTCAATCCGGGCCCATCTTTAATAGAAACTCGCTGATTAGTGCGAGGCATGTCGCACATCAAACGTGTGAGCGGCTGCAGGTCTGCAGGTCTGTACATGTGTAATGAGTATACTTGGGCTTTTATTATTGTTATCATCACATCTTTTATTCCAGCATGGAACTCATTGCATCCATCCTGCACCTTGGTGCCATGGTCTCGGCCCAACCTTCCCCACGTTTTTCTGTGCATCTGTCCCGTCCTCAAACTCGTCTTTAAGCGTCAAAGGTTAGGTGCTTGCTCGCCTATAGCAACATACATACTGTGTAAGTAGTGTGTCGCATTACATTAGGTAAGAAGCACGGCATTTCAAGTGTCGGCAATGTTATCTTGTAATAGCAAGTGCCGATGCACATCTATCTGTCCGCGTATCTATCTGCCTATTGCTGGTTCAGGGCCAGAGAGGACAGACAGTTCGTCAGCTCGTGGTCCTGTTCCGAAAAATGCCCCAAGGCAATACGAGAGACAATCTCATCTAATACGGTGTGCCCTCACCACACCCCTTCACTCAACGCCTCAGCCAATATCGTAATCAAAAGAGGACTGCAGTATTGGCATCAGTCCACGGTAGGACAGCTTATACGTTCTCCCGGCCTAAAAAGAACACAGCCTCTCCCTAGGTCACCGTATTGTAATTGCGAACTCGTCACCCAGCGGTTCCTTTGTGATCCACTGTACTACCAAGCACGCGGCCCCCCGGGCGGTTCGGGGTTCTTGGGACTCTGTCTGTTTCTACCCTCTGGTTTCTGAAATTCGCGAAACATCTCAAGCTTAAAATATGTCTGGCGTCGCGGCAGCTCGGCAGGATGGACACTTCTTGGCACTCTAAACATTTCAGTGTTGGGTTCTGAAGTTTTCTTGCACCGCCACCCCATTCGCTCTCTTCCATACCTCTTGTGTCTGTGCCGCATATCATTCCGTTTTGTCGGGTAGAGCTGCTAGCCCAGCAAGTAGATGGTCGCGATGGGGACACAACACCTCTGGCAGACAGGGAAGGCTGACGAAAACGACCCACGCGTAACTCGGATCATTTGCCAAACTACCCCAGCGCAAGCAATAGCCTGTTCGCGGGGAATGGACGGGCATATTAAAAATGAGGCTTGCTGAATATGAGGCGTGTTCCCCCTCCTCGAATCGACCGTGTTGCAATATTATGATAGATACTTGACAGACTTCCTGCTCCAGGGGAAGGGGAGGGGATAAAAGGACACAAGCTTCAGATGCACGTCGAGCCTCATAAGCTCGGGAAGAGCAAAGTAGCAACAGCCGTTTGATCCCGGCCCGTCGAGTCTATCCCTCGGGTGTGAACCAGATTGTCAAATTGTGTTCCTCCTGTATCACAATATGTCCTCGGACACCTCGAGCATCCTCAAGGATTACACATGATTACCTAGTAGACATGAGAACAAGGTGCCGTCTCATTGAATTCTGCTGTAGCCGCTCACATGGTGAACTGTCGCAATGCGATTGTTGTGCTCTCAAGGTATTGGCCGACATCTGCAAGCGCTTATGCAGGTACGAGATCCTTTTTGGATCGCATTTGTTGGTCTGTTTAAGATTCGAGAGCAGCCCCCCCACAATCGAGAATCCACCTTGGCAGCTTAGTGCGCAAAGCCCTTTTTTTTTTCTCTTCCCCTTCCTCTATGTGTACGGTACAAAGTCGTCAAGTCGTATGTTTAATGTGATTTGCTCCCCTCAAAACTGCTCTAATGTATCTTCTTATATCGATCGACCCAAGACGGTGGCAAGGTCTGTGGCTGTGTTGCCATTAAACCGCTCAAATGCACCGCCTAACCGAACTCAGATCTTTTATTTGAAATAAATGAACCCCGGAGCGCGACAATTTTGAAATGATTGAGCAAAGTGCTGTCGCATCCCCAGGTACATTACAGCATTGTAAACGGAGCTGCTCAAAGACAAATGTCAGTGCCACTTGGGCAAAGTCCCAGGCTTTTTCATTATAGTTGACTCGGCGAACAAATATCGTCATTGTGTGTTTCCGCGTTTGGAACTTTGTCTGGGAGGTGATTTCCACGTCTCAGAGTCTAAAGCTTATTATATATATATATCGACGTCTTCCAATGGATATTAATGCGGTGTATCTGTGTTACCAAGAGCGCTCTCTACCAGATCTGTATATGGTTTATGGTCTATAGATCCAAGCACTGGATGCACGCTCCCGTACTCCTTTACAGTAATAAGGGTAAACACTAGAATAACTGCCACTCCCGATCCCACGGCTTGGCTGCCTGGCTGAAATCTATGCCATGAATATAGGGGCCCGAGAGCTCCTCCTCATCAACACCGCAGTGAGTTTGGCCGTCGCGGCCCTCGAACCAACCGAGGCCGTACGTCTTGCCCAGATCCTGGAGCCGGAGCGCCACCTCGGCGGTGCCGAGCTTGGCCGTGCCGACAAAGTCGTAGAGCATCTTGGACTGATGCATGAACGCGAGGATGCTGGCAATGGTGTTGGGCTGGCGCGGCAAGAAGGGGTGGCGCCGCCGGACAAAGACCCTGGTCGCGACCACTAGCATGTACAGCAGGATAAACACGGCAAAGCCCAGCGAAACGACAAATGATTGCACCGTTTCCTGGCCCGACTGAAAGTCGCCCTGGTTTGTATCATCATGGTGGCGAGGAGGATGGTCGCCGCCGTGCGCCATGTTGGACCGGATCTGGTCGACAAAGTCCTTGCCTTCCACCGTTGCCAGCGACGTGACAAAGATGGTTAGGGTCTCGGCCAGCACGGTACCGAACCCGACCAGGGCGACGAGCCAGTGCTGATTCAGCAGAGCGCGTACCGTTATCCAACCAAAGGGCATGGCTGTGTAATCGAGCGTCAGCGTCTTGGCCGGGGCATGCCGCTTGGATAAAATGTAGTAGGGCTCCATCATGCGCATGTCAGTCTCGAGACTTTCCCAGGCGAGCTTGATACACACGGCGAGGGCCGTCACGATCCATGGCGCCTTGTCGGTGACTTCGCTGAGCCGCGAGAAGAGAAGTACAAATATGAAGCCGAGAAAAAGTAGTATACCGATGATGAAAGGAATTGCCCCTTCGGCGCGGAGCATGATTGGATGTGGATTTTCTGAAAGATGTGCCTCCTTGTATCTAGCCTTTTCTTGCGTTGTCATGGAGGATGAATCGTCTGGTGCTAAAGAAGAGTTTCGCAGCACATATCTGTGGTTCCTAAGCTGAGAGTGGATCGCTTTGGGTTTGGCAACATCCATATCCTTGAAGTCCATCATGATGTGGCTCACCACGGCCATGGAAGCAAGACCCGCGATACCCTTCACGTCGGCTAGTAAACCCGATCGACGACTTTGCAGCTGATGAAGTAGGCCAACACCTAGAATAGCTATAATCAAAAATGTAGAGGTAAGGAGGCGGGATAATGTTGGATGCATTGTAATGGTCTTCTCAACCAGAGGATCGTTGTGTCTGATGGTCTTATCGGGATTCATCACTATGGCTGCGGACCCCAAGGTAGGAACCAAGGAAACAGCAAGCAAACTTATTATCGACGAGACAGCCACTGCATAATGCTTTCGATGGAGTGCCCGGATCGGTCTCATGAGGTTAAACAGCGTCAGATAGTCGACATTGATCGACTCTGCTGCCAGTGCGCCGCCCTCCTTGGACATTTGATAAAATGCTTCCAGGCGCCTCACTTCGAAGTCTGCCATTGTCCAAAGGACGCCGAAAGTGACTGTCACTATCGTGGGGAGGAATTTCAGTATGAAGTAGTCAAAGGGATTGATGTCTCCTGGTCTTTGAAACTTCATTAATGGGGCCGCTCTCGATTGTTGATACAGCACTTCTTGGGTGATGGCCAGGCCGAGTGACAACAAAATCATGCTGGTCAGGTACGGCCACCTCATTGTGAAAGGCTTCCAGTTGGGCTGTGGATAAAAAACTTCCTTTTTTGCGTCTGCTCTGGGAAACGTTGACTGGCGAAAATGATCTGGATTAACACCGGCTGGGTTGGGCCCTGTCATACTGCTCAAATCGATATCTGACGGTTCTTCCATGATCACCTCAATCACCTCGCCGGTTTTGTTTGCAGTGGTCTGCCCCAAGTTCCTAATCTCTTTCCTGGCGCTAGGTTTTCTTTTGATCGAAAGTGCTCGCGAAAATGAAAACGATCGATCGATTGCAGGGCTCGTTGCCAGCAGTTGTTGAGTATTCATCGTGGCGTCTGGGTTGATGCCAGCACCCAACCCGCCTGTGAGCTTCCCGTTTGCTTCTTGCTTCTGAAGGTTTTTGATAAAATCATGATTCTGTGAGCCCATAGGACCAGAAAATGAAGTCATGTCAAAGACTGGCGTTGTAGGCTCCCTGAAGTCATTATTTGTGGTGGTCATATCTCCGCTTGACATGCCCAGGGGAGCAGCTGCCTTCAATAGAGACATGTCGTATTCTTCGTCTTCCTTGAATGTATCTCGATGTAAGGTGTGACTAGGCTGTCCTCGTGACGTCCAGTGTGTTGGGACCTGCTCATATCGTTGACCGAATATCTCGAAGCGCGGGTTCCGAGAAGTGTTTTGCTCTGACGGGTAATCCTGGCCATTATTCCACGAGTCATTTTGCTGCGGGTATTCGAAACACGAATTGACAGACACAAGGGATTCTCTTCCACCGCCTGACTGATAACTTGCCATGGTGTTGGACGCGCTCTCGGAGACAAGCGAGTCCCTGCTTGATCCGTTGGTATTGATGTCGGTCGCGTTCCGTTGCCCAAAGTTGGAAATTATGAAATTACCCATGGTGACTGTCGCAATATCTCATGTGATCATCATGTTGGGTAGAAAAGATTTGCGACTTCTAAACAAATACCAAAAAGTTTGAACTCTCCTAGAGTCTCTGGCCATCTACTCTATTTTCAGATACTCGGGTGAAGCCAGGAGGAGTAAATGGATACCGACGAAAAGAGCAAGATTTCCAATCACCCCCAAAATACGACCTTTCTTGGGGGCTGGGCTCGGTCAAAAGTTGAGAAGGGTCCATCACTCTAATCGGGCGTTTCACGGCAGCTGCCAAGACGCAAGGCACTCGTGATCCCCCAAGAAATCATATCAGGCGCACTGCGGCTGAAAGGATTTGGCCCCTAGCTCGGTGGCCTCTTTGGATATAAATTCTGAGCTACGAGTCGATTGTCGGGGCGGAAGTTTCTGCGGAAAGACAACACATCCTGTTGAATTAACTTTGTCATTATCTGCACTCGATATAGAATCTTTTTGTAGATTGCTTCAAGATACGCTGCAGCAATCTATTTGCCACAGGCCATGTCTGTACAGCAAAACGGTTCTGAACAGAACATACTGCCCAATCATGCAGCCGTCGCCGCCAAACCACCACAGCTGACCTGCAGCAACGACTTTCTTCTTAGTGGAAATGCCTTTTCAGCTTGCCCACTTTGCTGCGGCCTTTTCCCTTCCCCCTGTTATCATTTTCTACCCAAGTATACCAACTTTCTCTAGCGGCTGAAGTATCTCAATGATCAATACGTCTTTTTCTCGAGTGAAGAGAAACGCTTTATCGTGCTATTTCTAACCGACCAGCCTTGAGGGGCAAAAGATGTCTTTGCTTTTCACTTACCTATAATGACAAGTCGCTAGAGCAGGGGTTAAACGAAACTTGACAAGATACTATTGACGGCATGTGGCTGTCTAAATCTGGATATACCATGCGGCCGGCGCCCTTCCATGCTTACACAACACTCACTGTGGGCGCCCGGAAGGAGTAGGACTATCACATCATGAATGCATAAGCAGAGCTCCTCAGTCGTCCCCTTGGATACATAAATGCCACCAAGACTGGTAATTGATGTTTGATATGTTTTAGTAACAATAGCTCCAAGGCTCACGCACGTATGCCCGTAGGTGTGACGATAAGTGCTGGTGGCATGATAACACCGGCAATCTAAGTCAGATTCTCTACCTCTCAATGGACTGTGATTTACTTTGCATAACTGGATAATCTCTTCTTCCGCGCCATTCTCTACTTACTTACCTGCTATACCATGCATGCGAAATGTCGATCATACTTTGCACGGTAATACCGACGAAAGCCTCTATGAGTTTTAGCTCATGAACCGGCCCCGAGTCCGCCAGTCCAACTCTAAACCAGAACAGGTGATGCACAACCATGTAAGCTTCCGAGAAGGCTCCTTTGGCCGAAAAGAAAGTCGCAAAAGAGGTAGCCTGCCAAGCCAATCGTCCAAGTTAGAGATCGTCTTTCAACACAGACAAGACTTATGATGCAAGACACCAAGCCCACCATTGTCTTGGTCCCGGGCGCCTGGCTCCCGTCCACGGCGTATGCCGAGTGGACCGCCAGGCTGGAGCAAGAGGGTTACCCGGTGCTGGTCACAGCGTACCCGTCATTTGATGCTCCAGATCCACAGCACGCCGATGTAGCCGGGGACGCGGCGGCGATCCGGACGACGCTCTCGCGGCTTGTCCATGACAAGAGCAGGGACGTGGTCCTCGTGATGCACTCGTACGGCGGGATGCCGGGGTCCTCGGCAGCTCGCGGTCTCGGCGCGGCAGAGAGGAGGCGGACCGAGGATCCTCTCGCTCCTCGTGGTCACGGCGGCGGCATATTGGGCCTCGTCTATGTGACTGCCTTTATCGTGCCCGAAAATACCAGCTGCGCCGGCATGACGGGCGGTAAGCTGGCACCGTGGGTCCAGGACGACACGCCGGGGCCGGGGCTAAATGTACCTCAAGACCCCGGCAACATGTTTCGGCATGGATTCACAGCCGTGGAGGCCGACAGACTCGGGGCCTTGTGCCGACCGCACGCTACGCTGGCGTTTACGAGCATACAGCCGCCTTCGGCATTGAGTCTGGGCGAACATGCCTGGAAGGGCAGATTAGGGTATCTCAAGACTGCCAGAGACGACGAGATACCCGAAGCAGCACAGGATGCCATGATGCACAGCGTCGGTCAGGATTGGATCGCGAGGTCGATTAATGGTAGTCACATGTCTCCATTTGGTGGGCAGTACCTAGAGCAGAGCATCAAGATTCTCATGGAGATGATCGAGGCATTCACGAGCGCCAATACAGATTAGTGCTGTATCGATGAGAAGAAACTTGAGAAATTTCCATCGCTTTCCATGCCCGGCTCCTAATCTCGTACACCGTACCCAATCTTCTATTGTCCAGCGTGGCATCTCGATTGAGAATAGATATACCACTCTGCCCTGGTATTGCACTAAGCTGCGATACCCAGGAAAACAAGCACTACTCTGCGTCCAAACATTCTCCTTCCCTTTTCTGATTCATTAGCAACACAAATGGCTCCTCTGATGTCATATTTGGGTGAAAAGAGTCCAATTGCAAATGACAGAACGCCCTCGATGAGAAAGGCCAAGTCAGGCAGCAAATAGTATCCATTCTATTTACTCAGTAACGACTCGCGCAGAAAACCCCTGAAAAAAAGAACAAGAATATGCATCTTCATCGTCATCAAGGCCCCCCAAGTATTGACGGTTCTCGTCACACATTACGAGGTAACCCGCCGAAATTAAGTCTTTTGAATTGTGCAGGCTATGAATCGATAGGGAGATGTGCGCGTCGTCAGGCGAATTCAATAGATCGACGTGTTTGGGAATAAGTCAAGTTGACTCGTGGACCTGCTCATCGGGTCCAATACGGGGACGCCTCGTATCGAACCACCACGGGCATTGGCAGTGGAGCCACTGAGAGCCAGCCAGGCACGTACCTTCGTGTGTACGAGCTTGTAATTTTGGAGGTCAAGGTATCGTTTTCTGCCCCATGCACTCACTATAGCCCCTCGAGCTTAATTTGCGTTCGCATGTCAAACCCGCAGGTGCCACGAGAGAGAAGGTTTACGTTGGGACGCTCCACCGTGTCGGATAGACAGACTTGACGAGGTTCGATGGATTTAGGCACGAGTGCTCAGCAGGCCGAAGGAAAATACTCCTCCACGGAAGTGGTTCTTTTCAATGTGAAGAGCAAGTATTTGCCTTGATTCGTCAAATAAATATATACAGTAGAATTTAAGTCTAGCATCCCGTGTCTTGGCGACGGGCAGGTTTTGTGATATAGCAAAACCTTGATGAGGGAGGGGACCTTTTCCTGCCTCATTTTCCATTTTCCAGATGCCCTGATATTGGTTCCTTCGATGCCGTATGTGAAAAGGGGACGGCTGTACAGAAATGCGCCAGTCACACATTGCCCAAACTCCAGTCATGTTGTATTCCAATGTAGTCCCAATATATGGAAATGAAGAAGTGAAATATATTCGTTATCGTGGCGACGTGATACTGCTCTAATTGAGCACAGAGACAAGCAGGCAGGTCTCTTTACCACTCGCCGCTGTTGAAGTACCACTCGACCTCGACTCTGCCAGCGGTTGTACCACCGACCAGGTCGTCAAAGATGGTCTCGGCCACGTCAATGGCGTTCTCCACGCAGCCACCACATCTGTCACGAACGATACCAGTGGTGGTCTGGCCATTGTACTTGATGGTGATCTCCTGGTTGCAGAAGGGGTGGGCTGGCAGGTCAACGCCATAGCTGGTGAGAGTGCTGACCGAGTCCCACAGGTGGTAGTCAATGGCAACGACGGGCTTGGTCAGGTCAAGACCACTGTCGTCGTAACCGCAAGAGCCGAGACCAATGGCGTAGTATGTCATGTCACTGTTCTTGACATTTGTACCAGAGCTGGAGCCGGAGCCAGTGGTGGCGGCGGCGGCAGTTGTGCTTGTAGGTTCCGCGGCGTAAGTTGTGGTCTCAGCGGCAGCAGTGGTAGTAGGGGCCTCGGCAGTAGTAGTGGGCAAAACAACAGTAGGCACAACAACGATGGGGGTGGTGCTGGTGCTGGAGCTGGTGCTGTAGCTGGAACTGCTGGTGGCGGGAGCAGCCTCGGTTGTTTGCTGAGTCGAGGGCTTGACAACCAGAGTAGTCGAGGGAGCGGCAGCAGAGTAGATGCTGGTGCTGGCGGCCGCCTGGAAGAATTCGCCAGGAGATCCAGAAGAGGTGGCAACAGTGGTGGCAGCAGCCTCCTCGGTCTTGGCAGGGTAGAAGGTCTGGGTGGTGGTCTCGTCTACCTCAACGGTGACGGTCTCAACCTCAGTAACCCACTCGACAACGAGGTCACGCTTATCATGGTGATGGCGACGGGCATGGCCGTGAGGCTGGGCAATGGCAGCAGAGGCCAAGGTGAAAAGTGCGACGGCAGCAGACTTCATTGTGGCGGTTTGGGATATCAGTTTTTGAAGCAAGATGGAAAATCTCAAAGGGACCAGCCGGGAAGTAGATCGGTTTCTCGTTTATAGTCGAAAGGTGACTTGTGTGTATATGCGGGCGGCACGGGAAAGTTTTCCTGCGTTTCTCCTTTGGGTGGAATGACTGTGAGTGAGCAGCGGATCCGTCAAGAAAATGAATGTATACAGTGAGCACTGCTCAGGTTGAAAAAGAATGTGTTGATTGCGTGAAGATCACAAGTGAACCATCGTGGGGGCAAGAGAAGAAGAGAGTGAAAGGAAACTGGGGGGTCTTTATTTGCCGTGAATGAAGAGCGGCACTATGACAGGGGGGCCGACGAACAAAGTGAGTCTATCCCAGAACGGGGAAACAAGCGACACACAACGGTACAAAGCCGGCGGCCAGCGACCCAGCAAGCACCTGGCACCTGCAGTAGTGCAGGTAGGTAGCGACAGACAAGTTCACACAGACAGCGAGCGACGACTAACAACAACCAAGGCAGCGGGTCCTTCCTAGGCGCAGGCAGGTTGCAAGGGCCCAAGTTGCCAAGCCAGATGAGGATGGAGCCAATCGATCGTGGAAACAGGGAAGCGAACGTGAGCAAAGGCACTTGAAACATCTCACCAAGCGGGCAGTGGTAAGTTGGACAATGGAGCCCGTCAGCAGCCGGGCTCAAGCCCAATGGCACATCTTGCACATCACTGGCACATCGTAACTTCGCTCGTGAAAGGTCCAGGTCCAGGTCCAAGCCCAGGTGCCACCATGCCACCCATCCTTGGAAAAGTCGGGATGGATCATGGATGGCTAAAGGGCTTCCCTGTATGCAAGCTGCAGGCACCGCCGCGCCTACCCACCAGCGAGCCAATTACAGCGCTCGGGTCCCTGGACTTCGGCAGGGCGCAGGGGGTTGAAGTGCCTGACGATCCCTTGGAGGCCCGTCCATTCGTCCATCCTAATGCACGTTAAGCCCGCGTTAGCACCTGGACTTGCTAGTTTTGGCGTCCTCCTGGAATCTGGAAGGGGAGCAATGGGAGGGGGGCTTGAGGGGAAAGCCAGAGGGAGAAAGAAAAAAAAAATCCTCTCTTTTTTGGTCGTTTTACGGCCGCTAAGGAAGCATCTGGCCAAGGCGGAGGGAGCCAGCCAAAGGGATTCGTCCCGTCACAAAAAGGATTCGTAGATGGCGTGAGATCCTACTTTAGATTGGTTCGACTCAGGGAAGTCAAAGAAAGTATTACGGAATCTGTCAATGAGGCGCTGCTAGTCAAACGTCAATTGGTTGGCGAACTTGTGCTTTGTCCGATGGTATGAAGCTGTGTACGAACTGTAATCCATAGACTAGATGGTGAGGAAGAAAAAAAAATCCATGGTTCAGGTCGCTTGCTGCCCACTCCGAGGTCCTGGCAAGCAGAAGGAACCAGCGCACAAGCTGCCAGCAACTCCACGTGCGCTCATTATCCACTTTGAGCTTGGCAACATGTAACGTAGTTCAAGTCTACCGATCCCAGGTCCTGTGCTTCCGAATGTCCCGTTGACGAGTCCAAAGTATTACTGTAACGCCATGGGCTGAAGCCATGGCGACTTCCAGCTCGCATTCCTTAGCAGGAATTCGTCGGGGAAAAAAGGGGGAAGAGAAGTTGTACAAAGCTAAGGGCGAATTCTGTGACCAGCCACTTTGCGAATCCCCATCTGGTGACGTGACGAAGGGGGAGGGCTTTGTGCAACCCACCTGGGATGATTCCCCAACTCTAGTTGCAGTGGAACTACTGTCGACGGCGGTTCGCAGCACAACTCAAATTAAGTTTATCTTTCTTTGATAGATGCCAATTTATCTCTGTATCAAAATCTGCCAGCAATCTTGGAAAAGCAAGCACGGTTCATCTCGGATCCACCATGACCAGGAAATCAATCTTCATGCACCTTTGACTCGTGCCTGTAGACTAACGGCTGGCAATGATCGTGTTGTTGAAGATTTGCTAGGTGGTGGTCTTGGTGGTGTAGAACAGCTTACTGGCCATGGTACAATTCCTGGGCCCCGGAAAATAGCCGACCCAAAAAGGTCTGGCCAGCCAAGAGACGGGAACGGCACCCTGACCCTGACCCTTTTTTTCTTGGAGGATGGAGGGAATGCTTTGGGGTCAAAGGAGCGACGAACGTCGATTCTGAAGTATGTTACCAGCCTTTTGCCAATCCCATATGGAGAAAGAGAAAGCGAGAGAGAGACAGAAAAGCATTGAAGCGAGCTTGAACTGGTCATGACTTGACTCCGCCCTCTGATCTGAAGTCCGGCCAGCCTTCTATGTATCTAGATGTCTAAGAACTATTTTGAAGCTTAATAAGAGGGAGGCCTTCCATATGTGCACTCATTAGTCGCAGCGATGCTTGCTGGTAATAGCGTAGAGAAACAATCCTTGCCGGCTGAAGATGGGACGATCCTCGTCATGTAACTCAGCCACATGAAAGGCCTTTTGTGCTTTTTTGACGAATTGAATGTCGGCGCGACGTCTCTTTTTGAAGCAAAAGTAGATGATTGCCGATGGGCATAAATTCAAGAGGTCCGACAGCGTCGCGAGGAGCAGGGGGAAAGCCGGCTCAAAATACACACAATCAGCAGCCAAAATCACATTTGGTTTGAAGTCGACGACTTCTTGCGCAAGTGGTTCGCCCCTATAAAACACCCCACTGTCGTTAGAGGTTCTGTTTCTACTTTGAAAGACAAAAAAAAGCATCACTCCAGGCAACCAGGTACGGGCGGCGTCTTTGCGCTTGGCGTTGCGCCAGTGACATCTGACCCAGTCCAGCCTCAGGGTCCATGTCAGGGACACGGAGGTCTCGGTCTCATCAAGATGGCATAGAACAAGAGCTTGTGCACTTACCAGTTCAATATCGTGGCTTTGACTTGACCTTGCATCTGATTCAGTTCAATATTATGACCCATGAGGCTGAACATTTCCAACTGATCGGTGATGAGGAGCGGTTGTTGCACCTCACAACCGCGGGCAACTGCTAGACCCACCAGCCCGCCGCCTGCGCCGAGCTCTAGACTATTATTGGGGAAGATCGATAATTAGCAAAAAAAGGGTTCCGTGGGGACTTTTGACAACGCATCGCTAAAGAGGAGAGGAAACCACCAACATACATTCTCGAGTCTCGCAGATCCTTCCGGTGATAGCGGAGCATGTGTTTTGCAAGAACCATACCAGCTGGCCACGTTTGACCGCCGCAGCCCGAGGTGAGATCCTCGTGCAGTCGCAGTGGTTGGGCGAGAAGACTGTCAAAGTCAAATCCAGCCGTCGCCGCGGCCTTATACTCGGGCAGAGGCGCCAGGTCGACGCCGATCGCGAAGGGATCGAATTCGGGGGAAGGCGAGCGATCCTCGGCCATTGTGAAGCTTTTTTTGAACGTTGATGTTTGAGAAAAAAAGAGCCAAAAGACTGAATAACTGACTGGTAAAGTGTTGAACTCTGTGGGCAAGCTGGCAGAGAGCCTGCCGAGCCGCCCAAGGTGTTGTGAAAAGATGCGACGGCCCATATTGATGTTAGTGCCGGACCGGCGATTAGGAAGGAAGAGTCGAGGCCATCTTATCTCTTCTAGTCATCCCTTTTTGGCAGGGGCTAGCGCCGCAACTTGCCGTCCATTGTGATTAGTATTGGATTATAGATGCCATTCACATCTCACTCTTCCCTATCCCTCTCTCGCCTCATCTCTCTCTATATCCATCCCACTTACATCACGTGTGCACAACCCGTGGTGCTCACTGCTAATGTATTGAATGGCCATGCCAGTCTCTGACTCTTCACTTTGCATAAAAAATAAATCTGGTGCAAATCTGAATCATCTGCAATGTTCGATTCACAATTAGGTACTAATAGTAGTAGCACTCAGTATTCAATGGCATTTGATCACCCCACCAGCCTCGCGTCTCATGAGCAACCGCGAATGCGTGGCAAGACACTGGAATTCCTGACGGACATATTATGATGGCTGACGCGCTCGCGACCTCTGTAACGAGCTCTTGTGCCTAACCACTTTACACGCAACAGATTTCTATGCTTCTCTTTTTTTTTTTTTTCTTCGTGCAACCAGTCAAGGAGCGCGGCTTGTGAGTATCCATCTGCTAAGGTTAAGCTTTGGGTCAGCATATCGCCGTCTTGATCCTGTCTTGAGTTGCTTGTACTCAACCACCTTTGTTTTTCTTTTCTGCTCGCCGCACAAGTCCTAACAATATCATTTCTAGCTATAGTCGCTCCTTCAGAACCATTTGCGCATCATGTACTTTCCATCATCTCTCATGTGAGGTGACAATATCACCACCACCACAATGCGGCCGAGGTGGGCGTCAAGCCCAATAATACTATTAGCATACTACGCCAAATTCATACTATGCGCTCCTCGCGACTACTTTCCCATCAACTCCCAACTGCCGCCAGTGGCTCGGATATCAGAGCCTTTTTCTTTCGTTTTTTCGCCGTCAACATTCGTGTCTCCGTATCCAATATCTTATACCTTGGTCGACTCTCCAGAATGGCTCTCAATCGATAGCAACAACAGACGGCTCTATGGTACGCCAGAAGATCGGGATGTCGGGTCCGGCTCCATTGTAGGCGTACCCATCAGTATAGCGGCAGAGGATGAACAAGGTTCTACAATCACCAATTCGACTTTGGTCATCTCCAGGAATCCAGCTCCCAATGTGGTTGTGCCGCTCTCGGAACAGCTCCCGTCGTTTGGGCTATATTCTGCGCCCTCATCGATTATCTTATCCCCATCAGAGGATTTCTCTTTCAAATTCAAAAAAGATACGTTCGACCAGTCAGGGCTGAGTTATTATGCCGTATCAGGAGATAACGCACCTCTTCCAGCTTGGATCTCGTTCGACGCCAACAGCATTTCGTTTACTGGCAGAACTCCTGCAATCGAGGCATTGGTTCAACCACCCACCACTTTCAATGTCAAACTGGTCGCTTCCGACGTTGTTGGCTTCGCATCCGCTTCAATACCGTTCTCCATCATCGTTGGCAATCACGAACTGACAGCCGAGGTCACCAACATTGCCTCCAATGCAAGTATAGGAAGACCTTTTCACTATGACGACCTTGCGAATAACATCAAATTGGATGGTGGAGCACTGAATCGCTCCAATGTGGCTTCAATATCAACAACTCCCTTGCCCGAGTGGCTGGAGTTCGACACTGAAACATGGCATTTGAGCGGAACCCCCCAAGTAGGAGCGATTCCTGTCAATGTGACCATTTCAGTTGTTGACATTTATTCCGATGCGCTCAATATCAGCCTGGTCATCGATATTGCCATGAACATCTTTCGGTCAGACTTGCCAACCATCAATGTATCAGCTGGCACCGATCTGGCACTCGATTTGAGACCATTTATTTCTAACATCTCCGACACGGAGTTGCGACTAACAGATCAGTCAAAGGCGCCGTGGATCCGATACAATTCCTCCCTAATGGAGCTCACTGGTGCCATTCCGTATTCGAATACTGCATTTGAGGTTCAAGTCGACCTTGAAGCGAGCTCGAAGAGCACTGAAGTGACAGAGTCACGCGAACTATCCATCAGGATCGGGGCATCCCCGTCTGAAACGACCAGACCATCTTCGTCATCATCAAGTGCGGCGCAAACGCCAGCCTCTACTTCTTCTGTTCCAGCAGCACCCTCAAGCACTGCGAGCCCAACTTCTCGGACGACAAAAATAGTTTTAGGCGTTCTCGTACCACTGATCGTGATCTGCGTTGTCGCCCTAGTTCTACTGCTCTGCTGCTACCGACGACGGAGACACGATCGGTACCAGGACCACATCCCAGAAGTATCTGCTCCTATACCTGGAAGTTTCGTCAAGCATAATACGAGTAGCCTCGAGGGTCCAAATGGTCTACAAGGCTTATTCGATGCGGAAGTTGCCCGGAGGTCACACAGCGATAGCTTCACCACTGCTCCAGTCATACCGCCCCGGTTCCGCACATCGTCTCACTCGAGTGTTCGAGGTAGCGATGGCCGCCAATCTATGACTTTGTTCGCCTTTGACCGAAGATCCCTAAGCGACTCGGCGGTGCGAGAAACTCGCGAGTCGTGGCTCAAGGGATTCGCCGCGGGGCATATACCTCCCTCAACCGCAACTGCAAAAATGGACGACTTCAGCGTGTTGTCAGATACCACTCTGGGATCGGCAGACAACCATGTACAAGGCGAGACCCCGGCACTGGTCGTCAGTGGCGCGGGACCAGAATCTTTCAGACGCTCGCTCGTGACCTCGCCCGTCGCCGGCTTGAGTTTGCCAATCGTGCATGAGCCGTCGAGTATCCAGGCCACTCCAGAGTTCGCATACATTACAAGAGGAAGTGAGTCGGACGGCGAAAGCCGACCCAAGTCTGCGTATCCGGATTCGACGTATTCTGGCGTCTTGGGCCTTGGAATTCAACGCACCATAACGTCCATCCCGCGCAAGACCAGCACAAGAATGTCTCACGCTTGGAAAAAGGCAAGCCCCTCCAGGCTCCTGGAAGAATACAAGCGCAAGAGCAACCACAGCACCTCGACCGTCGATACCACGCGGACCAGCATCTTGACCGACGAAGTGGCCGATATTCAGAGACCCACCGTCGTCCATGTGCCCAGCCGGGGGCAGAGCCGGCAGATCAGTCGCCGCGTTGATGATTCGAGTGCCCTGTTCGGAGGCGGAGCAATAGTGCGTTCACCAAAGAACTTTGGTGTCATCACTGGACCATCACCGATGCCTTCTCGGGAGAAACTATTCATGCTTCCGCCGCCGCTTTCACATGGCAGAAACTTTTCGTGGAACAATGCTGCAAAGAGATCCCATGGGATAGAGCACAGGGACTTTGGCAAGTCTCAACATGAGCCGATAATGTCCATGAATGCGGCTCGAGCCTCGCAGGATTCCGTCATCTTCTCCCCCTTGAACGAGAACAAGGAGAACAATGACTTGGTGCAACCGGACATCAAGACATATGAAGACCTCATGTCCCTAAACCAATGGCCGATGCCACTTTCCACCGCCAACTCGGACACGTCCACGATAAGAGAGTACAAGGACCCGGCCAGAGATGACAGCGACGTATCCCGCGCCGCAGAGGAAAAGGCCCGTCTCTTGGAGCAGCAACAGGCCGCCGAGGACGTTCGACGACTGTTGTCCGAACCTGACCCGGCCTGGCCGCTGCCAAGACCGCTGCCCAAGACGCCCACCAGACAGGCGAGGACGCCGCTGGCCGACCGGCCAAACCAGTCGGCGACGAGCGGCGGCGGCCTCGGGACAAGGAGCAACTTTTCACGCAAGTCGAACAGAAGTGTCAATACCATCGCGAGTGACTACGCAGGGACGGAAGACGGATGGGAGGACATTCGGCCGGCGAGTGTATTGGATGGGAATCTTTTCAGCAACTCAACAGGGAGCGCACCAGCATTCATTTAATACTCGGATCAATGGGGAGTTTCATGCTTTTGTAATCCCGGGGCTTTTTTTTGGGGGGAGAGATACGCCAACAAAAAGTTTCTGGGAATGGACGGATTGGCAAAGATACTTGATGTTTTTACTGCGTTTTGGCGTTCTGGCGAGGATTTCCTGTTGTCAATTACCAATTTGCCTCACATAGTGTAAATCCGTCTCCATGGCGTTGTAATTTTATATAGTGTACTCTTTAACCATTGCGAAGATTCGGTGCCTACTTGTACTTGACCGGGGGCATCCATGGTGATGATCCAAGCTGCGATACTATCCATGGTATAGCCCTGTAGGGTCTTCTTCATTGTGATTATTATGGTTGAAACATCTGCAGACAGTCTCAAGTAATCTACACAGCACTCAGACAAATCTCACATTAATCAACTCAAGCGACTTGCCTGGCTGGGCTCTTGGAAGTTGGGTTGTATGTGTAATGTACGCTCGTACTGACTGCCTCTAGAGCTGAGTGAGCGGCCAAGGACATGCCGCATAATGTGGGGGGGTTTTTACACTACGCACAAATGGGATTTCTTTCTTTGCATAATCGATACCGGTCCTTATAGGGGAAAAGCAATTCCAATTGCTGACACCTTCTGACGTCGTGCCGCGGCATGCATAAAGAAAAGAAAAACGCATCATGAGGCAGAAAAAAAAAAATGCAAGTACCTTTCCCAACGTTTTCGACGGATAGAGCCGCCTGGCCTTTCATACGCCCAGGATCGTTATAGCGGCTTTACTACAAATGGAACAGATCTTCGGGCAATTGAATGGCTCGAACATTCGGCAACGAGCTGGAGTTTTTCAAGCGAGAAGAAATTTTTTCCCCTTCACTTCTCTCTGCTGAGATCTCGCCAAAGAAGGATGGATGTGCAGAACTTTAAATAATAAAAAAACCCTCAGAAAAATAGAACCGCCTGCCATGGTTGGACGGAGGCAAGGTTCAGCAATCTACGATTGGACCCTTTCGACTGGCGGCTTTTTGCTCACGGACCAGTTCCAACCGCCCGAGCCGTTTCCCCAGATTTAACGGGAAAGCAAAGGCCATTTCATTTGGGCGTTCCAAGAAAAGCGAACCCCTGTCGATTAATAAGCGTAGGTATAATTTCAAATAGTAATTCTTTGGATTTTGGATATTTCTTTTGTCCCGAGGCACGAAGCAAGAACTGTAGGGCGACAAGGGCGAGTCCATACATGAACGAGCATCTGGCAATTTTCTTTGGTGGTACACATTGTGATTCAATGTCACTTGACGAGGAGGATCCATTTCGTTCTGGATATGATGTGAAGTCAACATGTGAGTAACGTTCTAAATGTCGTTCTTTTTAGGATTCAACAGATATGGGTTTTTCGGAAACCGATAAGGGCCTGAGCGCGGGCATCCTTTGATGATGCACGTACGTGTCCTACCAACCGGGCTGTAGCCTGTAGATACCTGGCACCCAGGTCATTAGTGCTCTTTTTTGGAGTGACCAGCGGGATTCGGGGCTCTGGATCACCGGAATATGCCACGAGTGGACGAGGATGTCATGGACAGGGGAGTCTTGTGTGCCCATGCTTGGGAGTGATGGTGGAGTTTTGCTCTTTGCCGCATACAATCGATCAATCAATGAATTCTCTTCTTCCGTCTGGTGTAGTATGTTCCAGCTGAGCACTCACGATGCTGACGGGCAGGTGAGCAAGCAGGATGAATGTCCCAAAGCAGCATCGAGAAGTTGAGCGATGAAATAGGTCGTGCTTTCTATGCACCATACCAAGTCCGGCTTCAAGGTTGATGTGCACTTTTCAACGGATATTGTACATTATTATACATGCTATGGCGCAGGTCCATGCTCAGAAATGGATTTGGACTTGCGCCCGAATGCATGGGAGCGACAAGCGAGCAGGTCAAGAAGGCACGGTCCAATAGTGGCGATGATGTCGTTTTCCAGGTACCTCGCTGGGTAGGTAGGTCCTATGCAGACTCAATAATTGATGGCCAGGTACCTAATGTAGGTAAGTGATGTTGTGCGCCTCTGGGGGCTCTCCAGTCTTCCTTCCTGTGCCATCACATCATCACTCATCACGCCTTGTTCTGTGAACCATATTGTGTCCAGGCTCTGTCGCCCATCATCAGAACTGATTCAGAGCGAACAAGACTGCCCGGATAGTGCAATCGTTATTTGCTTCATATTTCTACTTCGTACACACCACTTTAGATGTATGCTTGACTCATGGGCATCTGCACCAGATTACATATTCATGAACCACACAAAATAGACATTAAGCGCTGCTGCAACTACGGTTTCTTTTCCTGACCGACACATCAAGGCAATTTCACCAACCAGCAAGGCACTGGACCACCACTACCAAAACGGGACCCCCAATCCGTCATCAGCGAGTAGTGTAGATCCCCAAAAAATCACCTACTCCAGAATCCACCGCCCAGTCCAGTCCAGTTCAGTCCAGTCCAGCGAGCCGGTGAGCACCACGACGCACGCACGCACTGCAAACAAGCAAGCTGCTTTTTGGAAGTGCGGCGCTTCTTTTCAAGAGTACCCCGCCTTGTGTTGGTCCCTCCCGTCTGTCTGTCTGTCTGCCTGCCTGCCTGCCTGCCCGCCCGCCCGCCTGGCTTGTCTGTTTGGTTCTACCTATCAATTCTGCCACCAAAGAAAACGCCCCTCGGGTTTCCTCAATAACCGCAGGACCTTTCGCCGCGCTACCTGATCAGGCTGGGTCTTGGTGTATCTGTCTGACAGTCCGACTGACTGACTACCTCAACGCCCACCACCGCACAACAACTCCAGTCGTCTGTCTCGCTGCTCTCCCACACACGCAATACCGGGCCAACCAATTTCTTGTCGCGCGACCTCTCCCGCCTGTCTTTGGTACGGCATCCGGTCATCCTTTCTTCACTCCCGCACCACGCAACTTTTAGCCAAGGCATCTTGTCCGCTGGAGAATAAGGAAAGAAAAATTTATTTCGACCTGGCATTTGCAATCCGCGACTGACTGCAACTGCACGCCCGATCACGAAATCCTGAACCCCTCCCCCCCTCTCTCTCACCTATCCATCCACAGACGAATCCGTGGCCTGCGCGCTTCGGTTCACAGTCTCTATCACCATGGGTCAAACACTCTCGGAACCCGTCGTCGACAAGGTAAACAAATCCTCTACTCTTCCATCTGCTTTGTCTTGCGCGCCCACCATCTTTCAACCCACCCCTATCCGATCGAGTCTGCGCGTGCCCACCCTTTGGGCCATATGACCTCATCAATGCCGTGGCCTCTTATTTGTGCGATCACTTCGTACCTGGCCTGTTTCTGTATTGCGATCATGTCTTGCATGTCAATATTTTTGTGTGTGAACAACTTGCTGACTTCTTGTTTTCATCTAGGCATCTGCCAAGGGTGAGGATGAGCGCCTGCTTTACGGTGTGTCGGCCATGCAAGGCTGGCGCATTAGCATGGAGGATGCTCACACCACCATCCTGGATCTCTTGAAGCCCGACAGTGAAGAAGCAAAGGCACACTCCTCGAGATTATCCTTCTTTGGTGTCTTTGATGGACATGGAGGTGACAAGGTGGCACAATACGCCGGCGAGCACATTGATGATATCCTCGTGAAGCAGGACACTTTCAAGGCTGGAAACTACGAACAGGCTCTCAAGGACTGCTTTCTGGCTTGCGACCGGGCAATACTGAGCGGTATGAGATCATGCATTAGTGCAGCAGTGCTGTATTTTCAGTTGTGGATGCTAATCGGAGGATGACAGACCCCAAGTATGAGGAAGAGGTTTCTGGCTGCACGGCTTGTGTTGGTCTCATCACTGATGACAAGATCTACATTGTTTGTACCCTGTCCATGCTTCGCTCCGAACCCTTGTTGACAAATCCACTAGGCCAATGCTGGTGACTCGCGAAGTGTCCTGGGCGTCAAAGGTCGTGCTAAGCCCTTGTCTTTTGACCACAAGCCCCAGAATGAAGGTTCGTTATCTTAGCCCTGTTGGCTTGCCATCTTTTTGTCCTCCTTACTCGGCGACTTACTGTGACCACAGGCGAGAAGGCACGTATCACTGCCGCTGGTGGCTTCGTCGATTTTGGTCGTGTCAATGGTAACCTTGCATTGTCGCGTGCTATCGGCGATTTCGAGTTCAAGAAGAGTGCCGAGCTCGCACCCGAGCAGCAAATCGTCACGGCTTACCCTGATGTGGTAGTCCATGATTTGAGCGACGACGATGAGTTCCTGGTCATTGCCTGCGACGGTAAGCATCGCACCACTAACTTGAAAGCAACCTTTTTAATAATCATTCTTTTCAGGTATTTGGGATTGCCAGTCATCCCAAGCGGTCGTCGAGTTTGTCCGAAGAGGCGTTGCTGCCAAGCAGGAGCTGGAGAAGATCTGCGAGAACATGATGGACAACTGCTTGGCTTCCAACTCCGAGACAGGTGGTGTCGGATGCGACAACATGACCATGATTGTGATCGGCTTCCTCCGAGGCAAGAAAAAGGATGCCTGGTACGAAGAGGTCGCAACCCGCGTTTCCAAAGGCGACGGCCCGTGCGCTCCCCCCGAATACGGTATGCAAAGCAAAGAGTCCGAGTCACCGATGCAAAACTGACAGTTGGACTCAGCCGAATTCCGAGGACCTGGTGTTCACCACAACTTCGATGATAGCGACAGTGGTTATGACGTGGACATGGACAAGCAGTCGAAGCCTTTTGGTATTGGTGGGTACAAGGGTCGTATCATCTTCCTTGGTGATGGTACTGAGGTCCTGACAGACTCGGACGATACCGAGATGTTTGACAACGCTGAAGAGGACAAGGACCTCGCTAGCCAGGTGTCAAAGTCCTCTTCGGGAGAAGATGGCGAGGACAGCAGCAACATCCTCCCCCGAGCCCCTTCCCCGCCAGCCAAGGAGAAGTCGAATACCGAGCCTGAGTCCAAGACGGAGACTACAACAAGTGATACCCCTAAAGACGCAGAGAAGAAGACCGAGACCAAGGTGGAGGCTCAGGCCGATGGAACAGCCGACGAGAAGGAATAGTTGGCCTCTTGGGTTGTTTGTTGATCCACAAGCGGGTTGCACAGTGAACTGTTTGACACCGCTGGCCCTACTTTGGACGGTGTCGTTTGACTTTGGCGCAAATCCCCCAGCAGCGACTAGGTGTAGTCTACCAGGTTTGACTCCACAAGGGTACAGTCTGGTTGGGATATTAGAGAGGATCGCGTAGTACTCTAGAGTCACCAAACTTCTTCATTCAAAGGGAGGCGAGCTCGCATGGAGTTTGGGAGGCATCAGATCAAGGGAGCGAAGTCAAAACACCATTGCCTGTCTTAACGATATTGGGAGACTTCCAACATGACGAAGAATACAATAAGTCCAACGCTTTAGTATTCGACCAGCTACAGCGACATTGTGAGGGCGATACGAGAGCCGGGTCCTGTCTTAAACGTGGGCCTCGGATATGACTTTGATGGATTGAGTATACACGTTTCTTTTCCTATGACAAATACCCAGTGGCAGGATAGTTGACCCCAATATAATAATGCCTATGGATACGAAAAGCGCCTGGTGTCAACGAAAACCTGTGCTGGACCCAAGCAAAGAACACACAGAAAGCGGAATAGAGTGATTGATTAACAAGAAATCTGAAAGTAAAACCAACATTGTGCTGCAATTGGGGGTGGACTGTTCTGACTTCTTGGTTGGAAAAGCCCGGACAGTTGATGCCAGCTGCGATGCCGTCATAATCGCGCCAAGAGCTACCGATTTCGCCGATGGGTTCCTTGGCGCAATCCATGCACGCGACCCGAACCAGGGACTCGCCGGCGCCGGAATTTTTTGGAGGGGACCAAATCCCCAACCTGTCTAAGCAGCCAGTGCGAGAGGAAGACAACAGCAGCCAACACCAACTACTCTAATCAAAGTTGGTTCCCATTTCTCACAAGATCAATGACCTGTTCATAGCTCATGTCCCTGGGCTTCAGAACGGTATGGAGAGCTCATACCTGTGCCTTGACCGCCAGTGGGCTCTCCTTGAGTCCCAGGGAACTTCCTCGAGTCCTCCACCATTACCAGAGGTCGCAACTCAACCGATGGCAGTCGACCAACTCGGCCGAGCCGAAGAGGCACGATACATCAACCCCGGTACCCAATGATCATTCTGTCAGCCAATTCCGGCGTGTGTCACCCTCTTTGCAGAATGAGGAACGCGACGAACCCGAGCGTGAGCAACTCTCGCCATCTGCACTGAGGCGGTTGGCCATTCACCGAGTTATCAAAAAGAGCAGAAAGCGGAAGATCCAGAACAAGAACCCTGCATTGATAAAGTCGCGGCAGTGGTACCCGAGCAGGCACGAAGTTGTCAGGAGTGATCGAAAGAGCTACCTCAGCAAGGCGCGGCAAGATCTTTGGGCTTTTCAACGCGCCAAAGACGACAATCCCGGAGTCGACTGGCTTAGCACCGCGCATTTTCTATCGAAACTTACGCCCAAGTTTGGCTCCATTTTTGATTTCAAGGTCATAGTCGGCCAAGGCGCCGCAGATGAAATCCGAAAGCTCCTGCCTCGTGGGCCTACCGCCGAGCCGGGTCGACTGCAGCAAAGCACTCGCGCCGTTGTTCGCGTGGACGAAACGGACAATGCGGACGGAAACCTACATCTTACCCTGACCGGGTCTGCACACTCAGTACGCATGGCCCTGATGGACTTGCTCAAGGCTTCGGGGCACATCACCGCCGTCAGACTGCTGGATAACGATGCGCAAGGCATGCTGCGGGATCTTTGGCACCAAGAGAAGACCAACTTGGACTCTGTCACGCTCCTGGATCGCGACGAGGCCGGTGCGGGCGACCAAGACGACAGGAGTTTGACTTTGACTGCAAAACTGAGCCCGTCTGGATATCAGTGGCAGAAAAGTCGCTATTACGTATTGAACCGAAGAGCTGACCAGATTCCAAAACCTGCCGTGTGGACAATGGAATCGCTCGAGAAATACATTGCGCTTTTGGTGTATGGTGTTGTACCAGCACATCTTCATTCGTCACTGTACAAGAAGCCGACTGATCACCAGCAAATTGTCGTTTCTCTGCTCAATGAAATTTTTCATTCCGAGCAAAGTCATCGGTCACTTTCCACTGAAGCCCTGGCTATGACTTTGGCCTACATCCAGAGCAAAGGGCTCACTTTTAGACCAACGGCACGGGCAATATTCAATCAAGCCGAGATTCGAAACATACCAATGGATACACGAATATGCAATATCTTTGTTGCTGGGTCTGTGAGAACGGGTGACCTAGACGGGTTTCACAACGTGCTGAAGCTAATGGCGAGAAAAAGCCTGCACGCTGACAGCGAGACATGGCTGTCCCTTTTGAAGATCATGGAACAGCCTGACGCAAAACACTACATTCTTCGCAAGATGCGCAAGTTGGGACTTGATCGAATTCAGTCAACACTTGTCAAAGCAGGCCAACACATGGCGCCTTTCGAATTGGAAAAATCACTCAATAATATTCATTCAATTACCGAATTCATTGAGGAACAAGACGCACAACACGGGGCTATTTGGCTTGACAGAATAACCTTCAACAAGCTAGTAGATGTTCTTGGGAAGAACGGCAAACACAATATGTGCCTTGATCTCCTAGATCTTATCTACGAGTCGCGCCGCACAAGCCCAGGGTCGGACACACTGAACACCATCATCACCCATAGCAGGAGCACCCAAGACATATTAGATGTGATGCGAAAGCTTCGGACAATGTGGCCTGCAGCAGTCCTGTCCGATAGAGACACCTATGATATGCTCTTCCAGGTTGCTTGGAAGACACGAAGCCCTAATATGCTTCGTGTCATCTGGCACTATGCTACTTATGCTAGACAGGCAAGTTCAAAGTTGCGGTACCGCATGAACAAGCTCCTCTCCAGTGAAGGACCCCACGACCTTGGCCGGCATACTCTCATCAGTCCGTGGAAGGCCGTTATTGCAGGGGAAACTGCGCTGCCCTTGTTTGAGTCGTCCAAGAAAGATCAACTCGGGACAAGCATCGCGAGGTGGAACGGTGCCCAGTCTAATGTCTCGAGATTATCAGCTTCGTTGGAGGACAAGCTAATCGAAGCTTACGATATGGACCGCAAAATCCACGCGACGCTCAAGGAAGGGGGAATTGCAAAGGAGGATAGAGAGAAACTCGTCGTGGATCTGCCAATAATGCCCCGAGACCCAAAACGACTTTCCCTGTGGCCGCCTCCCCCACTGCTGTCGAGTATTTCAACATGAGGAACGAAGCAATAGCTTTGATGATGAAGTTAGGCAAATGTACAACTATGGATAGACAAGCGAGTGCTTTTGTGGACGTGTGAAAAAATGAAGCAGGGGCATTTAGATGCATTATGTACATATAAGGGTTTTTTTTTAGAGATGGTGCATCTGGCAGATCTCATTGCCACTGGCGTTGTACATTGTAAGATTAGTCGGCATCCAAATATACCCCCAAATCATTTCCGTTGTTTCTATCAACAATTATGACAAGTCCTTGAATTATGGATAAAAACACACGGCCTTGTTGCGTTTACTCTCTTTGCAGAGTGTTGATTTACGAAGGCCAAGGTAACAAGTCCGTCACTGCAATTCATATTATGGAGCATGGCTTATCTTATCATCTTATCGGCGATAGTCTAAGAAAAAGTTCCCAGGTTCAGTCAACCACCAAAATTCCCCACGATCTGCAGCCGTTGCTGCTGCCCCTCATACCATCCTGTCTAGGCAATTTTTTTTTTTCAAATCCTCTTCTTTCCTCTGGCGACGAGGACAAATCGAATCATCAGACCGCATTTTAGCAAACGCGCAAACTGGGAGTGCATATTCACGAACCCGACGGAGAACTAGAACAAAACTAAAAGGAATATGGGCAAGGCCAAGTCGGCAAAGCGCAACGGTGGCGCATCCGCCTCGCCGTACGAGCGGCCCTCGAAGCCAGGCGGCGGCGGCGGCGGCGGCGGCGGCGGCGGCGGCTCCTCCAAGGCCAGCAGCAACAATATTTTCAAGTTCAACACGTCGAGTTATGGCCAGCACATTCTCAAGAACCCGGGTGTGGCCGAGGCTATTGTGGTCAAGGCGAACCTGAAGCCGACAGACACGGTGCTCGAGATTGGTCCCGGATCGGGTAACCTGACGGTGCGGATCCTGGAGCGGGCGAAAAAGGTCATTGCCGTCGAGATTGATCCCCGCATGGCCGCCGAGGTCACCAAGCGTGTCCAGGGCACCCCCGAGCAGCGCAAGCTCGAGGTCCTCATGGGCGATGTCATCAAGCTGCCCAACGACAAGCTGCCCGCCTTTGATGTCTGCATCAGCAATACCCCATACCAGATCTCGAGTCCGCTCGTCTTTAAGCTGCTGAGCATGCCGAACCCGCCCAGGACGAGCGTGCTCATGTTTCAGCGGGTGAGTTTCCCTTTCTCGGTTGGTGGCAGAGTATAGGAGGAAAATGAGAGCGGGTCGTGATCTGGTTCATCTCGTGCTGACAGGAAATGTTTCTTGTTGTAGGAATTCGCGCTTCGACTTACGGCGCGCCCTGGCGATGCTTTGTACTGTCGATTGAGCGTCAATGCACAGTTTTGGGCTCGAATTACACATATCCTCAAAGTCGGTGCGTATTCACCACACGAGCCTGCAGGTTCACCAATCCTTGATGAGGTTTCTTATGAGCTTTGATACCAAATGCTATGGATACTTGTGATTGGAGAGTGCATATCAAAGACTAACAACACTTTTCCTATAGGCAAGAAGAACTTCAACCCACCACCTCTGGTCGAATCCAGTGTCGTCAAGATCGAGCCCAAGATGGGCGCCGACCGGCCCCAGGTGTCGTGGACTGAATGGGACGGCATGCTGCGCGTATGCTTCAACAGGAGGAACAAGACAATGAGGAGCAGCTGGCTGGGCACCAAGGAGGTGCTGAACATGGTCGAGCGAAACTACCGGGTCTGGTGCAGCATGAACAATGTTGCACTGGAGGAGGGCACCGTGGACGAGGATGACGACGACGAGGACATGGATGTCGACAATGGCAACGCGGGCGCCGGCGATGAAGAGGAGGAGTGGGGCGGCATGGACGTTGACGGCGACGAGGCCGAGAAAAAGGACAGCAGCGACCTCCCTTCGTTCTTTGAAGAGTTGAAGCAGGCGTCGAGCGAAGTCCCCAAGACGAAATCCAAGAGGAAGAAGACCAAGGTGGCCGCGCTGGTACGCGAGAAGATCAGAAAGGTCCTGGAGGACGACACGGGACTGGCCGACCAGAGATCCGGAAAATGCACAGAAAACGACTTTTTGAGGTTGCTGCACGCTTTCAATTCCGAAGGTCTTCACTTCTCCTAGAGAACGGCCGACATTTTCAATTTGGGTGCCTCCGGTTGTGGCAGCATATAATGAACGGAGTCTGGCGTTTAGTGGATCAGGGTCAACCTCGAGAAGAAAAGTCATTTGCGAATGGTGCATAGAGATATCATAGAGAACGAGTATGTGGAAGCATTTGCAGACCAAGTTTGTTGATACCAAAGAGTCAATTATATTAGACATTTCCCATCCGAATCCCATATCCCTTATGATGATGAAAGCAAGTAAAACACAAAAATAAACGCCCTTTCGTCATCATACCATGATCATACTGCTACATGCCATTTGTCGCTTCGGAGTTGTTTTGCGTCTTTGCCCAAGACTCTTTTCTTTTAGTGGGGATGTTTATTTGCCGCCAAACCAGCCGGAGATGCCGCTCTTGGCCTCTGAGGCTTTGGCCTCGACCTTGCGGTCAAATTCGTCCACCTTCTTTAGCGTGCTGTTCTTGACGTCCTTTGCGTAGGCTTCAGCATCAGCCTTTGCCTTGGCGATCTCGGCTTGGCTCTTCTGGAGCTATCGAAGAGGGGAAAAACATATGTTAGTGTCGTTGTTTTCGTCATGGATATACATATATCGAAAACGATCCGAGAGTGGACAAGGGGACTTACTGCGCTGTCAAACTTGGCGCCAGCCTCGGCACCGTACTGCTCTGCCTTCTTCTCGGCCTCCTGGCCGCGGCCGGGAAGCTCAGCCTTGACCTTTGCGGAGAGCTTGTGTGCGTCGGCTAAGGGGAGAAAATAGACAAGTTAGCTTGAGAGCTCATCAATTTGTGAATAATGACCAACAGCTAAACTACATGCTGATCCGAAGCTGGTGACTATTGCTTTGCAAGGAACACACTCACCCTCAGCTTGCTTCTGGGCAACGGTAGGGCTTCCGCCTGCGCTGTAGAGGTAGTAGCCAACACCACCAGCGGCAGTGAGACCGAGGAACAGAGGAGCTCTAGATCTGGACATTGTGGATTTGATGTGCTGTGTTGTCTGCGGACAATTGATATTGATTGGCAAGAGGAAGAGAGAGGAGTGTATGGCTTTGTAGAGAAAAAGAGTTTGTTGTTTATTGGAAAGTGAGGTTGGTTTGTATCATTCTTGAAACTTGCAGTCTCGGGGGGAAGAGGGGGGTGACACGGGTTATATGGAAGGCAGGGTTAAAAGTTCTCCAAGGTCAAATCCTATGTATATTTTCTTTCCATCACGTAACAAGCATATGTGACATGCATCAAGAGCACACGGAATACATCACGGTTCCATAAACATGACCAACCACATGGGGCCCAGCCCAGCCTCTCCCTCCTTGTCTGTTCTTCCTGAACGTTCCGAAAAACAAGCTGCATTGTCTGGCCGAGAGAAACCAGGGGGGGGTCGAACCACTGTGCAAGACTGTGACGTTTTCTTTTGCTGGGTTGCTTGAATTGGCCGCGCGAAGGAAAGAAAAGTTAACGAAGGCTATACTGACATGACGTCAACTGGAACGTGCTACTTTAATGCGGGGAAAGAGAGGGAGGTGCCTCTCCGGCCCTGCACATGTGCTGTAGGGAGCTTGGGCCCCTCTCTTGATGCGCTGACCGAGGGAACTGGAGCACCATGGCGCCTAAGGTCATTAGCAAATTTTGGTCTTCACTGAGCTACAGCAGCACCTGGCAACCTGGGCAATATCTGGAGTCTGGACTCTGGCCCGCCCTTGGAAGCTTACAGCGGGACCCATTTCCGCTCTCATTAGCGCCCGATGTTCCCAAAGATCTGGCTCGTCTGGTGCAAGCTGCGCACTGCCAATTTCCTTGAACGCTGATCGCAGACCCAGAAAAAAAAAAGATTCCCGGTCCAATTGATAGGGAATCGCAATCCGCGACAATTCGATGAGAAACAGCTGCGGTCATTACATCATTGGTTCCATTGTCGAACCGGACAGAAGACATCGTGTGGTCTTTCTTTCAGTTTTCATGTGTGTGCTTATGCGTGACCTCGAGTCTTGGAATATTATTCAATTTTGTTTCTTGCTATCATTAGCCGACTTGCAGTTGTATCATTAAACTTACTTCTAAACAGTAGCTGAGACTTGAAGCATTGGTTTCTTCTACGCATCCGGACATCCGCTTACACCACAGCAAGAAGAGCATGTCATTGTAAATATTTCGCACAAACCTACCCCAATACTGATCGTTATTATCTATACGCCCTATTCATTGCTTTTGCTATCGATATCTAGTACATTAGAAGACTGAAAACACTCCATGTTTGCTACATACCACAACGTCCACCCAGCTCGAATACAGCTAGAAGCTTTATGCACGTACACACGGAACTATAGCTTATTTCATCTCTAGCCGCCTTCGTCATCGTCATAGTCAATAGCATAGCACCTACCTGCAAGTTTAGCGTCTTGTTCCAGTCAAAGCTGAGAGATAGTGCACATCTGGATTGCTTGCAGCCCCCCTTTTCCAATAGAATTGTTTACTCAATTTTTATTGTCTTATTTTCTCTGGATTCGAGTCACCTCACTTCGCTTTCCATGTTTCTAAGCTAGTGGCTAGCACGAAGGCCCCCGGATCTTCAGGTCTTCTTCGCTGTTCGTGCCTATCGCTTTTACTTGCAATCCTCAAGCTAAAACCCTTTGTCCGATGTCCCTAGCCTGAAGTTGCCATTTCCTCGGGCTAGACAGCTGGACCTTGCGGGATAGGTATGCTCGAGGTCCCCTGTTGTCTGGTAGTCTGCAGGGTAGTCTTTGATACGGTTGCTACACGATGCCGACGGTTCGGTCCTCTCGCCGCGTAGCGCCGCTCAAGGAGTCCGACATCGATCACGAGATTAACCTCATTGATCACTCGACTTCAACCCACGGCACCCCAGCCCGGGCCCCAACACCGACTCAGCAGGAGGATGGCGACACGGCTGTCGACCAGTCCGCTCTGACCTCCGATAGCGAGCGCCCTCTGCGAACCAATGCCGCGCCGATATCAGCGAGTGAGGAAGGTTCCGAGCACGGAGGAGAACAGAATGGACATGCTTCCCGCGAGGAAGCAGGAGGGAACGGCGCGCTCGAGATACCACCTACGCCTACTGTCCAACCCCCCACGCCTGCTGCCGAGGAACCCAGACCTAAAGTGTCGTCGGAAGCCCAGCCTGTGAACGGGAACCCCGTCTCAAGAGTTCCTTCCTCAAAATCAGCCAAGAGGCAATCTCGTCGTCCCAAGTCTCCCAGAAAGGAGATCGATATTCTCTATGAGAATGAGAGAGGCGGCTTTCTGTGTGGCATTCCGCTCTTCTCTGGCGCGGCACTGGGCAATCTCGACCCGTCCCCGTGGACCAACGCGGCGCACAAGACGTCGCCCACGGACATCAAGACGGCGCAGGTGCCGGACCCCAGCTGGGAGTGGGCATGGCCAAGCTGGCACGTCAATAAAGACGACAAGATTCAGACCGATAAAGACGGTTGGGAGTACAGCTTCATGTTCAGCAAGAAGTTTAGCTGGCACGGCCCAAGGTGGTATAATAGCTTTGTTCGGCGGAGGGCGTGGACCCGACAGCGTATCAAGAAGGAGACTGACTTTCCGTCCAACGACCCGCACCTCTTGAACACCGAGTATTTTACAGTGGGCGCAGCGTCTCCAACAAAGAGCGGATCCATCCGGGGCGGCAGTAGTTTCGGTGGTGGGGCGAGTAACAGGACGAGCGTGGTGATTTCCGAGGACGAAGCACTCGAGGCCAAGATCGAGATTCAAAATATCGATACATTGATGGAGCTCTTGAGGAAACTCAGGATCGACCGGGAGAAGCTGGATGCCATACAAAATTACATTGAGCACAGCGCCGACGGCCTCGAGCAGTTACAGGATTACATGCACGAGATCATGTCCATATTCGTGTTCCAGGCAAGCCGGAAACTCCTGTTGACGAGATTGATGGAGCTTTATGATGGCTATACATATCAGAAACAGCAGTCGTCGCCCTCGGAGGTAGCCAAATCGAAACCGGAGCCACCCACGATACAACTGCAGTCCCAACAAGTCGTGGACGGGCCATCTCATCCGCAAGCCCACCCGAGCATCCCCAAAGAGCCAGAGACAGACGAGGAGAGGGCTGAGCTGAAGGAGAAGACCAAGCACCTAGCCGATGCAATCAAGCATGCGGACGAAGAAGTTCGTCGTCTCGAGTATTGGAGTGATGTCAAAGACATGGCTGGCGGAGGAGTCTCGGGCGGCGCTGTTGCTGATGAAAAGGGCTGGGTAGACGGATGGGATGGCATCGATCGAAGTGGTGGCATAGGTGCCAACAAAGAGGAACTCCCATGATGTGCTTCTAGTGGTGAATCACCAAAGAGATTGCATCGGGAAGGGCAAAACAACACATAATATGAGTGATGCGGATAAGTATGTCCTTTTTCTCGACAACTGATTGCCAGCACCCTACTTTGCGAGAAAAGAATGCTGGGTTGGAGAGAAACGGTACATGGAATTATACCCCCAGGACTATACACACACAAGCTTGAACGACCATAAGTTGAAGCAGGATGGCCGCGGAAATTTGAATCATTTATAGTGTATTTATATTCAGCGTGGGAAGCATGCAAATGACGGCGTTAAGGAGTATATTAATAGCCCGCATAATATCTATGAAAGTATAATAAAGCATTTACCTATAAATCCTGTTATAGTTTGACGATAGTGGCAGCTGCATTTCAAGGACGCACGGTTGAGCCAACCACCAGATGTTTTTCACTTAAACGTTAGATATCTGTATTGATCTTGCATGATTGATGATGAATTGTTTTACATTTATATTTCTGATGCAGACACATCAAGTCTTGTTAATCAGCTAGTTAGTCTGCTCCTCCTCGGCGACGTAGTGCAGATATGCGCCCAACAACTTGATACCCTCAATGTAGTTCTTCTTGTCCAGCTTCTCGTTGATCGAGTGGGCACCGTCGGTAGAGCTTCCCATGGGCAGCAGCAACACATTCTTGCCAGTAGCCTGCTCAAAGGTTAGGGTGACGGGGATGGAGCCTCCCTCGCGAGTATAGTCGGGCTTGACGCCCCAGACCCTCTCGACGGCCTTGTCGGCGGCGCGGAAGTTCCAGTGGTTGGGGCTGGCGACCCACCACTTGCCAGTATGTTGGGCGTACACCTTGAGGGTGTTCTTGGAGCCCAGCTTGGCAAAGACCTCCTTGACGTAGGCGTATACGGCCTCGTTGGTCTGCTCAATCTCCATGTTGGGCACAGTACGGATCGAAAACTTGCCAATGACCTTGGCAGGAATGACAGTCTTGGCTCCGGGCGCGGAAAAGGCACCCTCAACACCGTGGACGGAGAGGGATGGGTATCTCCAGCGGGCCATGAGGGTGGGCTTCTTGTCCTCGAAGATGGTGGTCTTGGAGCCTAGTGACTCGTGCAGGTTGTCCATGGTAAAGCTAATGTTATCATATAGACCCTCTTCCTCAGAGGTAACGGGTGCGACCTGATCCATGATGCCGGGGATTTGAATCTTGCCGTGGGTATCAACCAAGCTACCCAAGACCCGGACAAGATCTGTCATGGGCTCTTGCGCAGTTCCGCCAAACACACCAGAGTGCAGATCGGCACCAGGTCCCGAGATCTCGACGCTGTAGTAGTTGCATCCTCTCAGACCGTATGTCAGACACGGCTTCTCCGTTCCCAGCCAGTAGTTGTCCGAGATGCAGACAGCCTCGGCGTCCTTGAAGTAGCCCTTGCCCTCCTTCTCAATGAGCTCGTCCAAGCCCTCGGAACCGTACTCCTCCATACCCTCAAAGCACATGAGCAAGTTGACGGGGAAATCAACGCCAGCCTTCTGGTGTGCCTCGATGGCGTTCAGCCAACCCAGGACAGGACCCTTGTCGTCGGTCGAGCCACGGCCAAACATGCGACCGTCCTCGCCGACAGTCAGTGTAAAAGGCTCTGTAGCCCAGCCGTCGCTCTTCTCGGCGGGCTGGACATCGTAGTGTCCGTACACTAGAATCGTGCGCTTGTTCTTGTCCTCTCCGTACCTGGCCAGAATGACGGGCGGCAGGTCTAGCTGAGGCTGGTCGGGCTGCTTTCCGAGCGGGCGCAGCTCGACGCTGGCGCCGAGGGTCTTGAGCTCGGCGGCGAGCCACTCGCCCATGCGAACGACATCGGGACGGCGGGCGGCATCAGCGGATATGGAGGGGATGGCGACGGCCTTGGCGAGACGGTCGATGAAGTGGTCGGAGAGCTTGTCAACCTGGGAGAAGTAGCCGTCGAGTTGGGGCGCCATCTTTCGAGCTTGATGGGCTTTGATGGAGGGGGTAAGGTACGTTCTTCTCTGGGTTCCTGGGATATAAGCTCTAAGTGACGAGGAGTGGCGACTGTTCGAAGAAATAGAAGAAGAGAGAGAAGAAAACAAAGATGTCCTACAACCCGGGCAATACGAGATTGGAGTGGATATGGCGCAAGCAGAGAAAGACTTGGGAGATGTCCGACTTGTAAGTCGTGTGAGCAATGTAGTGCGGGGCATCTGGGTGATAAGGTCAGGTATATAATAGAGGGGGTTTTGGTTCAATTAGAGAGCTTCTATTTGCGAACGCTGTGGAAGGGGTGAGGGGCTGGGCAAGCTGGGCAAGCTTTCCACAATGTCTCGTGCTGAGCGGTTCTAGTGGTATGAACGCACCTACGAGGCAATAGGATACGCTGCTGATCACTGTAACGAGGAAAGAGTAACGGCTATTCGAGGCTCGATCCGGGTCGCATCGCCTCTGAAGCAGAAAACTTTCCAGATGGATACTACGCTAAGCCAGTGGCGCCTGCCGCTTAGGGAAGCTCACGCGGGCTTATAGCCGAGCTGGAGAGGAGAGCTTGATATTTAGCGGGGAGAGCTCGATATTTAGACCCTCATGTGTACATTCGTTTGCCCTTTATTCAAAAACCTTTAGAGCAATATCAAAAGTTTTTTTACTTAATTACAAATTTAATGTGAATCCAATTACATAATCATAGTGGCTCATGCTAGCTAGCTATACCCGCGGTCATTACCTGGGCATGGAGTCTTGGTGCGTTCTTCATTATATGAGAGAATTCAACGGTATATAATCATCTAGAAATTACCTCCATTACCAATATATCAGGTTGCCGCGTCGATGGCGGAACTGGCATCTAGCATGCCGACTTCTGATGGACTTTAATACACAGCCGCAGTTTATAGTATCGTCATCATACCGGTCACGCGTCATAATCAGCCAGAAATCCCAACAAACGCATTCGAACGGCACATTCAGAGTCTTACAGACTAGCCCCAACGTCATTGCAGTGCTCATGTCCTTTCTCGCTATTTGCTGTACAATGTGCTGTTATGACGCGAGTTTCTGGAGCAAGTGAGCAGAACACAAGGCTCAACGATCGCTCCAGCCATTCTTCACGATCAGAAAGACCCCAAGAGGTTATATATAAGTCGAAAGACCAGCGAGAAGTCTTCGCAAGGTTGAAACTTTGCGAAATAAACTGCATGATGAGTTATAATCACAAACAACACTTGCTAATGATCACTAATGATATGGAATTTAGACAATTTGCGTGATTTGGAGGCAACAAGCATCGTCATTACTGTGTCCTTGCGCGCACATTCGAGTTCATGTGATAGCTGGTGACATTTCAATTGTTATAATCATGACTTCTAGGGTTTGAAAGTCCGAAATACAGCTTGCCTGAAGACTTAATCCACACAATTCAAATCTCACAAACAGCCACTGCCTTGATCTCTACGATGAAACGAGGGTCAGGCAGTTCCTTCACTCCAATTGTAGCCCGCGCTGGGGCGCTTGCGCAGTCTTTGAAAACCTTGTTCCATTCCTCATTCATGCCAGCATATTGGGATCCCATATCTGTGAGGTAGATGACGGCATCGATAATGTTGTGAAGGCCCCCTTTGCCGTTGGTCGCCCCGTGGATGATCGCCTCGATCCTGCGCAGGACTGCGGCCGTCTGTTCTCGGATATCGAGACTCCAGGAACCGTCGGCATTCTGTGTTGCGCCTTCATATTGACCGTCAGGTGTAACCGCGGCGATGCCGGAAATGTGGATGGTGCGATGAGCGGAAGCCGGGGTGATGCGGGCATGGGCGTATCGGGTCACTCTCGACGTTGCACCGGGATCAAGCAAGAAACCCTCACCATTTGGGGCCATGATGCTGTATGATGTCGAAAGAGAGAAACAGCAATTCTTTGACTTTGCGTCGCAACGTTTGAGGTACGCTGTTGCCGAGTATATCGTAATATACGATTTAGTTAGTCTACACCCTGCTTGCCGGTTGCGATGCTGCTGGGTGAATAATAATTTCATCCCGCCTCACTTTGTAGCGAATGTTGGCTTTATTAATAACTTATTATCAGCTTTATATCATGTAATGTGATGAAATAATGACAGCTCCACGTTATCAGATTTCCCGCTGCTTCGTTGAGCCCGTCGGCCTGCTCGAAACTGTCTGGGTATCGGAGTGACCGCTGGGTCATAGAGCGGATCGGACCCGAACAAGACTCATTGAAAATCATATATGCAACTTTTTCGACGATATAGCATAGAAGGTGGCAGCCATTTCTATCATATACAAATACGAAGTCAAAGGTTTCCGGAATTTCAACACCCCCGGAAACATCGACGCGCGCCTCCATGTCCACAAACCAGTCTGACTGCAAAACTCGCCTCTGGCGCTGAGGATGGCACCACGACTGCCGGGATCATCGCAGATAATAACGACTCTGAACATAAAGAGGAATATGCAAGGCTGGGCAGCTTGGTCGACCGTGCTTTGTATCATTAGTTTTGGCAAAGATTGCGTGCAGTGGCAATTCCGGCACGTGGAGCATGTTTTAGTACTACAGAGCCCCCTTGGATACGACCAGTTGTCAAAATCGTGAATAAACTTATGATGGTCTACAATTACGAAATTTAAGTGTGAACAGACAGACTTGATAATCCTTCCCGCTGTGTCACCCAGAGGGTGCCAAACTATATAGTTACACCTGTGGCGCATCATCTTGTACTTCCCCTTTAGGCCAGTAGACGGAGCGCCAGAAAATTTACCATCTTCTGTACCAGGAATAAGAACATCTAGTTGATGCAAAGCTACTTCAAAACTGCTTTGCAAATCACTACTGGCAACGTAAAAATGACAGCAGGGATACTTCTTACCCATGCAGAACAATTCACAGAGAATGGACGTTCAGTGAGCCTCGTGACACACCTTAAGCTGCACATGATCCAGTCAAGTATCACACAAGTAACATTGCTTCTGCGCACAGCATGGCTGAGTCTCCGATCCCCGCAACATGCTGGACTGTTGGTTGCCTGTAAAGAGCGACCGAATTGATAATTCGGCTTCAACAGATGCCCGTCGGCAGCGCCGACCTCTCTCTCCATCGTATGTGACTGCCGACGGGCGTACCGACGACCACTTATTGGGGCAATATAGCCGGCAGTTGGGCGGAGAATTGCTCAGTATCACACTAGGTAGCGATTACCGCCACTCCATATCCACTGTTTGATACAAGTCTGCCAGCCAGAACAGGCCAACGTGATACATCCTCAGCACACATGTAGCCAGACTACTGTGGTTTTATTGACTTTGGGTCTGCCGCGTCTTGATTGTAGCTGCGCAGCTGCTCGCTTTGTGAATATGGAAGAGCAGAATGATGCTGCCATTGAATACTTTGACTTGCCACATTTCACGTTTCGAGACGGCAGCACTTTGAATCAAGCCCGCCTCGCCTACAAACAGTATAATCGTTACGCGACAAATATTGCTGTTATTCCTACCTGTTTCCGAGGAAGGATCAATTCGACATTCACTTTCGCGCAGGGTATACTGCGCGACTACCGAGTTATCGTAGTTGCGCTTTTCGGCAATGGCGAATCATCCAGCCCTTCCAACACGGTGGATTTCCCTCAAAACATCGACTATCATGACTGCGTCCGTGCCCAACATCAACTCTTGACCCAAGGTCTCGGCCTGAGCTCGATTGATATCATGGTGGGCTTTTCCATGGGAGGCCAGACTACATATCACTGGCTGGCACTGTATCCAGGCATGGTGCGGAAAGCCGTCATCATATGCTCCTCGGCTCGAACCAGTCGCCACAATCACCAATTCTTAGAGGGCCCAAAGGCTGCATTGGAGAGCTCGATTGACTATACCCCTGCGAGGAAGGAGCCGGGAAGAAAGGAAGCACACCGTGGCATTCGCGCTTTTGGCAAAGCATACTCGGCCTGGCTCACAAGTTCTTCATGGTTCGAGGAGGAAATGTATCAAAAGATCGGGTACCAGACGCTGGCTGACTGGGACTGCGACGTGACGGGCGTCAACTACACAGGCTGGGACCCGGATGACCTTTTGACAATGCTGCGGATGTGGCAGCGAGGAGATTTATCCTCGTGCAGTTCTGACCGCGACGAGTCGTTGGAACTCACTCTGTCGAGAGTGGCGGTTCCGGTACTCCTCTTACCTTGTGAGACCGATCAGTACTTCAACTGCCGTGCAAGTGAGAAGGAGGCAGATTGGCTTCCAAACGGACAGTGCAAGATCATTCCTTCTGTCTGGGGTCACCTTGCCGGGTCCGGGGCCAGTGTTGAAGATATCAAATGGATAGATGGGCAGATCAAGGAGTTTCTGAAGAAGGCATAATAGTCCTCGAGCTCAAATATAATAAATTCATACGACCGTATCGAAAGAAACAAAGATGATACTGCATGAGCGGCTTAAAGACTGAATGCCTGGTTGACATTTTGTGATATTGTAATTGCGAAACATCTTCAAGCTGAATAGCCTCTACGTTGGCCAAAGACACCGTTTAGCATACGCATCATGCAAACCATAATTATTGCCCATTAGCCAGCAGAATGCGGCCTCCATCTACGCAGATAGAGACACCATCAACATATGCCTGTTTAGAAGCACGGTTAGGCGGAAAACGACTTTTCGATTGGCATCACTTACCCCGGCTCGACTTGCTAAATAGATAACAACACTCGCAATGTCCTCTTCTCCCCCAGCCCTTTTTGCCGGCACTTTGTCAAATAAATTGCTAAAGATATTTCCTTCTTGGCCGACTGGGTTCATTGCACTCGGCACAACTACATGTTTTGGGATCAGCCATGTTGGAACGAGGCAAGCATGCGCATCTCTGGTTTTCACTTACAGCCAGGATTGATACCATTGACCCGAACGTAGAATCGACTGAACTTTGCTGCAAGTAACCTTACTATGTGATCGGTTGCAGCTTTGCTTGCAGCATAACTAGTCAGGTCTACATTCGTCACGTTGTGCATACTGGCACAAGAACTAGTAATGACTATGGAACCGCGAGACGAAGCCTGGAGCAGATGCAAAAATGCGACTGACAAAAAGTAGTGGGCGGAAGAGTTCACACTAAATGTATCGGCCCAGTCCGACTCTGGTGAAGACCACATGGAAGCTTGCAACTCGGCCAGAGACGCTTCTTGCACATTGCATGCCACGGGAGGATCGCGGCGGATGCCCGCATTCGAGACCACAAGGTCGATGTGTTTTTCTTGCTGGCTTATCTTGGCGACAAGCTCGGAGATGGACTGCTTGGACGAAACATTGCATGCAATGCTGTAGTTCTGTAAGCACTTGACCGGCAGAAGCGACGGAGAAGGGGTTGGACGACTTGCCCTACAGCACTGCCGCCACCAGAGTCTCGGCCCAATTGACAAAGCTCAGCGACTCGCTCATCTATAGGGTCCGTCGGAAGCGCGACTAGATACACCTTTGCTCCATTGACAACGAGGCCCTGGTCCAAGTTAGCTTCGAGGAATGCAGGAGAAAAAGGAGAAGGACATGATGGAATCTACCTTGCATATCATAAGACCTAGGCCGCTGCTACCGCCCGTTACAACGGCGACATAGCCCTGAACCCCAAATAGGTTTTTGATATCGAGCGAAGACATTTTATTTTTCTGATTGTGGTAATAAGCAGTGCACAATGATCTGGATGGTCTGATTCTGCTTGATATTTTCCCCCGCAATCTCAGGCATGGGTCTTTCTATATATGCATGTGTTGCACGTTGCGGGTTGTGTTGTATCCCTCTACGCTACCTAGCTTAAGCTTGGTGTGGAGCTCCCACTTTTGCAGATATGGCCTGTCGGTAGTATATTGTGACAGTATGTGCATATGATCACACATACTCCGCCTAGAGATAGTTTGGTCGGAGAGCCCGACCAATCCGAATTGCTGAGCCCTTCCCCCCATCCCCCTTTCTGCTGGTTCATTTCTCGACGTATAATTTAAGGATAGGCTCATGCATCAGACCAGTATTTCAAATAGAAGGAGTGGAATTGAAGATGGTTCTTACTCACAAAGATTGACGTGCGAACAACTGAATCAATAACAATTGCCATTTCTTCCCGCTGTACCACCCAAAGAGTACAACGTGACGCAACCACTTTGGGAAGCGTGAATGGTCGCATTTTGAAACAAATCTAGGGAGTTCTTTTTGCATTCATTAATTATTTCGTGTATCGCAAGCATCAAGTTTTGTATTTTCTATTCTGGAATGGTTTAAAGACGAGCATGTCATTTCACTCATGACCTCCCAAGCTTCTTTTAAGGAAACAAGAATCAATTTCCTGTCATTTTCAATACATTGGCATCGTACCAATTTCTTTTTCTTTTCTTTTTTTACTCCTTGTAATGTTGGCTGGTACGCTCTTCGGCCAGTCGGAGACATTCTGTGGTAATAGCAGTATCGCGAGGAATCAGCTTCACCTTGAAGTACCTGGGAATAGCAACGAGTGCAGTCTTGCGTTCATTGTAATCGACATAATCAACGTTTGGAGGAGCGTCGTCACTGGCGACAAATTTATAGGCGCTCAAGAGTCTCAAAAGCGCCGCATAGAGAAGACGAGAGGCAATAAACTGGCCAGAACATCCCCGGGAACCTGTACCAAAGCTGAGATGATCCAGGCCATCCATCGGGCGTTCTTGCGGGGGGTCGACGCCGCTCAGCCATCGCTCCGGGTCGAACTGGCCGGCGTCCTTGCCAAAATGATCCACATCTATTCATGGTTAGTTGGGTTAAGAGAGCAAAGGAGGTATTGAATATTGTTTTACCGTGATTGCCAGCCTGAGCATTGATCAGGATCATAGTCTTGGCAGGAATGATGGCACCATTCCAATTGACCTCTGTCACCGTTTTTCTGGGCAAGCTCATCGAGCTAACTGTATAGTATCGACCGGCTTCCTTGATGATGGCGTTGATGTAAGGGACCTTTTCCTCCGTGTAGCAGTTTGTCCATGCATCTCGCATGTCAGAATAATGGCGCTTGATGTCTTCATAGGCACGGTCCTGCCACACTTGACCCTCAGGAGTACAAAGCGATCCGATACAGGAAGTCAGAGTTCCAGGAATAGTCTCAAAGCCTCCAGAGACCAGGGAGAGGCAAATGGACGAAACTTCGACACCTGTCAGTTTCGTTTCTTCGTCCTTTAGGATAGCGGCCGAGATGCAGGGCTTGTCGGTGCCTTCCTTGATCATGGCTCTGACTTTGTCTAGCAGAAGGTTTAGGTATGCGTCACGACGGTCTCGCAGTTCCTTGCTGCGAGAATTTTTCTCATTGTTGGGAACGTATCGGAGTGCCGGAATATAGTCTTGGTAATTTTCCGATGCACTTCGCAGGAGGGAAATGGCAGAGCCCACGTGCAAGATCTCACGAAGCAGCTCGTCATAAACTGCGTCCATGCGAATGCCGTAGCAAAGCGTGAGCGTTGTGTTGAGGGCAAAACGCTGGATGTAAGGGCGAATGTCCAACTCGATCTCCCCGTTGCGGCTATCCGTCTTGATATCGCGGAGGATGCAGTAGCTTTCCAAGTCGAACATGGGATTGTAGTTCCTCATTGCTGGTCTTCCCAGGGCTGCCCCGGCTGCCTTGCGCTTCTTTTTGCAGGATTCATCCCATGGCGAAGAGCCGATGGTGAAGCCCTGGGTACTGCTTATCACGCCATGAAAGGTGTACAGCTTCGGTCTGTCAATGACTGCATTCTGGTTGCCAAGGAGCATCTTTTTGCAGTCATCGAAAGAGTTCACCACCACCGCACGAGTGTTTCCCAGCTTGATCTGGTACACAGAGTGCTTGTACTGGCGCCACCATTTTTCACATACCGACGCGTGATCCTCGCCGAGTTTGAGCAGATGGCCAAAGACGGGGACAGCACCCGGGATTTCAGGCAGCCCTTTGATATGAGGAATATCAGTGGCAAAGGCAATCTTGTCTTGTCAGCATGCACTAGATATTGTAGTAACACTAGCTGGACTTTGGGTATCCGTCATGACGATATAGAAGTCGCATGCTTGTGATAACATGGAAACTTACCTGATAAATGAAAGCTGCTAGCAGCATCCCTCCAACTATCACGAGTGAGGGAATGACGTGATGCGTGTCCTGAAAGTTCTCCAACCACCTTACGTCCGCCATTGTGAAAGCCGGAGATCATACAAGGTATCAAGATCTGTGTCAGAGAGCATTGGTTGAGTTGAGCCTGCGTCACGCAAAACCATTCAAAAAGCCCAAAGCATGGACCCACGATTATCATGTCTTATACGACCATGACCGATCATGGGATGTCCCGCATTTGACGCATAGGAATGTGGTCGTCTATTGCCATGATCGGCGGGCCCGACCAGATAGAGTGCAGAGAGGTTGAAAAGGTGGGGGAGAGGTCGGAGCGGTCGACCCGGGCTGAGTAATATGCATGAGGTCGGCGGGCGATGCGAAACAGATACTCTGCAATTGGTCATCAACCGCGAGCATACAGTTACTGCATGTTGCCATGTCATCTGATTTCCTAAATACCACTCGCTTGCCAAGGCTCTGTGCGCCGTCTTCGTTACTAGCATCCTTTGCACCCAACTTGTATCCTTGGAACATGCATGCAGATTGGTAGAACACGACTGGTTTCTTGAATTTATATAGAACAAGCGCGAGTATATGAGTTGTGTATGACCTCTTTGCCGGGCAGACTGATCTGTTCTTGGCTCTAATCTGTCATTTTGTCGGCTACCATGGTCGTCGCCTAGAGGGTTCACTGCATTACTCTGAATGCCGGATGCTCGAGGTCCTTGTTCTACTAGGGAGCTTGCACTATTGTTCAGAGCAGCAATGGAAGCGGTCGTGAAAGCAACAAATGTCTCTAATGCACGCCTGGCCGAGCTAAACAAATCAAAGGGTTTTTTTTTCCTTTATTTTTCTTTTCTTTTGCCTTTGATTCTAAAACTAAAGGAAACACAGTCTGGGCAAGATGCGCGCGTACCTAATTGGGTGCCAGCACGGCGGTATATAGGTGTCAGATGGTGGATTATTGTTGATCAAGGTGGTGCTTTCCTATTGGAGTTTAAACTGGTCTGATATTGGTGTCAATTGTGTGATATATTGATTTATGTTCCGCGCCTCTTAGTTTTGATGAGGTGTACGCTTATTTGGGTGGCCCCGGCTAATCCCCGGGAGGTCCCGTACATCTATCTGGACACTATGGTGTTGATCCGTGTGCTCAAGCACACGCCAGTGTATGGGAACCATAGTCCACCATCTGACAATTATGGTTCCTATATACTGGCGTGTGCTTAAGCATACGGATTAACACTATTGTTGAATAATACCATTGTACCATAGAACCAAAAGAGACATGTCCCCACGGTCTGGGAATATAACAGGTATTATCTGACACACCCCCTCAGCTGGGACGTAGTTCTTTACGGGCGAGCTGGATATCCAGTATTCTAATAGGCTCTTAGCTCCGTTACGTTTTTTTTTAGCTGGATAACGTAGCTGGGGATCGAACCCAGAACCTCCCCTTATTTGGTGCACTACCAGTTGTGCTACTAGGTTATCGCGGAAGTGCGTGGGTCGCTAACCTACTGGTTAATGCACGGGTGGCCCTTGCGAGCGAATGAGACTCTTAATTGTTGATCAAGGTGGTGCTTTCCTATTGGAGTTTAAACTGGTCTGATATTGGTGTCAATTGTGTGATGTATTGATCTATGTTCTGCGCCTCTTAGTTTTGATGAGGTGTACGCTTATTTGGGTGGCCCCGGCTAATCCCCGGGAGGTCCCGTACATCTATCTGGACACTATGGTGTTGATCCGTGTGCTCAAGCACACGCCAGTGTATGGGAACCATAGTCCACCATCTGACAACTATGGTGTTTAGATAGATATACGGGACCTTCCGGGGATTAGCCGGGGCCATTTAAATAAGCGTATATTTTATTAAAATTAAAAGGCGCAAAATATAAATTAATATATTATATAATTAATATTAATATTAGATTAGTTTAAATTTTAATAGGAAAGCATTATTTTAATTAATAATTAAAAGTTTTAATGCCTCCGCCGAAGCTATAAAAATAATAATTACGAAGGAAGCCGGAATCGGCCTAACGGTATCGTTAAAGATAATTTCCGATTAAAATAATTAGGAATATGCGTTTTAGATTTAGGTATAAATTGCCGGATTAATTAATTATTTTAAAAATAAAACAACTTTAATTAAAACCTTAATTAAACCGGATATTAAAAAGATTAAATATATTATCAGATGGTGGACTATAGTTCCCATACACTGGCGTATGCTTAAGCACACGGATTAACACTATAGTGTCCAGATAAATATACGGAACCTCCCGGGGATTAGCCGGGGCCACCTAAATAAGCGTATACTTTATTAAAATTAAAAGGCATAAAATATAAATTAATATATTATATAATTAATACTAATATTAGATTAATTTAAATTTTAATAAGAAAACATTATTTTAATTAATAATTAAAAGTTTTAATATCTCCGCCGAAGCTACGAAAATAATAATTATAAAAAAAGCCGGAATCGGCCTAACGGCATTATTAAAAATAATTTCCGACTAAAATAATTAAAAATATACGTTTTAAATTTAGGCATAAATTGCCGGATTAATTAATTACTTTAAAAATAAAACGACTTTAATTAAAACCCTAATTAAACCGGATATTAAAAAAATTAAATATATAAAAACCGCGATAGCGATTTTCGAAACTATAAATAAAAGCGATAATCCGAGTATTTAAAATAAAAAAATAAGGAATAAACGATAACGGATTTTACCGAAAAAAATTAAAAATCGTTTAACCTCGATTATAATTATTATAAAATAAAAAAGGCTATATATATTAAATAATATACGGCGATTAAAAAAATTATAAAATAAATAATTATTACGATTTTTTTAAATTTTTTTTTTATATATTGCTTAATTAACGAGCTTTTATATAAATAATACGAGAATTTTAGGGCTCGCTATAATAAATTAGCTTTAAATAACAAAAAAAAAACAAAAAAATAATATTTCGAAATTTTTAAGCCTTCGAAAATATTAAAAAAAGCTATAAATTAAATTAATAAATAAAAAATAATTATAGCGAAAGCCTAAATAAAGCAAATAATTAAAATATAAGATAATTCGGCTTAAGCTATAAATTTTTTAAATACTATTATTTTAATTATGCTATAATAAACCGCTTTTTATTAAATTTATAAAAAATAAAGCATTTTAAATAAAAATTTAGAATATCGGGTAATAAATAACGATTTTTATAAAAGCTTAAATATTTAATAGCCGATTAAGCCAAAAATTAAGAAAAGCGCTTTTATAATTTACGCTAATAAAGCTAATAAATAGCCTTAAAACGGATAAAATAAAAATATTTATCCTGTTAAAAATTAAATGCCTCCCCGATTAAATGCGGCTAGTTTACGTAAAAAAAATAAACAAATTATTTATAATAAAAGGTAAAAGGATATTAAATGCCTTATTTACTATTTTTTTTACGCTTTTAATTTATATTTTTATATATTTTTAAAAAAAGCCTATTTAGGTTTTATCCTTAAAGATAAAATATAAATATAAATAAATAAAGCTTTTAAAAAAAACTTTAATTTATAAAAGCAGGTTCGCAATATAAAAAAAATTAAAATTAGCCGAATTAGCATATTATAAATAATTAAAAAAAATCGCTTTCGATTAATACGGATTAATAAAATAAATAATTAATAATAAACGTATAAAATAATTTTATAGTATTTATAAAAAACTATTTTTTACGCTATTTAATTATTTTAAATTTAGCGATAACGATTTTAATTATAAATATAAAAATAAGGTTTATTAATTATAAATAAACTTTTAATTACGATTTTATTTAATTAAGCGACCGGAAATTATTTATTTACGGGTACGGTATAATAATTATATAACTCGGATTTAAAATATTATTATTAAATAATATAACTTATTATTTTAAATTACTAATTATATTAATATTACTCCGTTAATTATAAAAATAAAAATATTATTAAAATAATAAAAACGACCTTATAATATTACGCAAAAAAAATAAATCTTTAATTAGCATACTTTAAAATTAATACGGATAATACGTCCTTAAATATAGATTTTACAAATTACCTTTAGCGTTATTTGCTATTTACCGGAAGAAATATATAATATAAATAAAAAGGCTATTATTAACTAAAAAAGCTATACGATAGCATTATAAAATAAAATACTTAGGCCCGATAGCTTTCGAATATTTTATTTATTTATTTTAAAAGGTAAAAATTAAAGGATTAATTATAATAAAATATAAAGCCTGCGCATTTGCAAAAATTAAGCGTTAATTACGGCAAGCGCTACGGCTAATTAACGAAAATTATAGCGAATAATTAGCTATAAATTTTTATAATTATATTAAAAAAATCGAAAATTATATATTTTAAATACTAATTATTTATCGGCAAACGGGATATATATAAAATTATTATTTTACGGAAAAAATTATTATTATATTAATTAACGTTTTCCGATTATTTTTAAATATAATAAAAACCTAATATAATATTAAAATTAAAATTATCGAATATAATAATAAAATTACTAAAATTAAATAAATAATTAGAAAATACCTTAAAAATAAATATATTAAATTCGAGCCTTTAATATTATATATATAAGCCTAAAATAAAGCTATTAAACGCTTAAAAAATATAATTAAAAAAAATATATAATGCGTACCGGCGCAAAATTCTTTTATTAACTTTAGCTTAAAATCGGTAAAACCGCGGTATATTTATATAATTGTACGCTAAATTATAATTCCCGATAGCGTATATTATATATAAAATTTTATAAAATAATTATAAAAGCAAAAAAAATCCTAAATCCGAGCTATAAACCTAATTAAATTTATTTTAAAATATTCGGATATAAAGCGTACGTAATAACGCCAATAATATAATAAAAATTCGGCTATTTATAGCGATTAGCACCTAAAATATAAATAGGATATTTAATTAAATATAAATTATTTAATATTTATAAAATTTAAATTTTTAATCGGAATAAATTAATTAATACGAGAAATATAATTATAAACGAAAAAAAATTATACGACGGAAAATAAAATATATTTAAAAATAAGCTTTTAAATGCTAATACCTAGCTTATCGCCGATTTTATAACTAATTATATAATATTTAAAAATAAAATTTTATAAAAATTAAAAAATAAAAAAACCGCCGCAAAAAATATCCTATTAAGCGATAATTAAAATAATTAAAAAAAATAATAACTAAAAAAATAAAAAAGCAGCGCTAAATAAAAAAATAAATAATACCCTTTTATTACCGCGAAATTTACTTTTTAAACTTTATTATAAATATTTTTATTAGCCTTATTAATATATAGCATAAAAGCGATTATAATTAAAAATACGGCGCTATTAAAAAAAGGACCTAAAATAATCTTATAATAAACAGCTTTCCTAGCTAATTATAAAGCTATTCCTAAAATAAAATAAAATAATAATTAGGATAATAAAATAAAGCTAAAACGCTTTTTTCGTTAAAAGGTAAAAATTTATAAAACGGAAATTCTAGCTTCCTTTAAATAATATTATAAATTATATTATTATTTATTTAATAAATTATTTTTTTTAAATAAAAGCTAATTATTTATAAAATTATAAAAATATACGATTTTAAACCGAAATTAATAAAAAGGATTTATAAATAAAAAGCAAATAAATCCTTAATTATATATAAATATATATATATAAATTTAATAAATATAAAAAATTTTAAAAATATAAAATAAAATTTATCGTTTATAGTAATTAATAAGCGAAGTTTTAAAATTAGGAAACTTACGCGGCTATATTAATTAAAAAATTATTTCGCACCCTAATCGCAATTATAGCAAAATTCGATTTTAAATTAATATAATATAACGTAATAAACGCGTTTATATACGCTTTTATTAATTAAAATATATTTATAAAAATACCGGATAAATATCGAAAAAAAATATTATATTATTATTAAATAAAGCATTTTATAAATTATAAATATTACCGCTATTATAGCAAAAAAAATTTATAAAAATTTTAGCCGAAATCGGCTATACCTAAATATTATATAAGCCTTACGTATTTATTAATAAAAAGATATTAATTTTTTTTTACGTTAATAACGTAATTATCGCATATAAAAATAAAAATAAAAAAGCTATTAATTATTTAATATAACATTTTATAAAAAAATATAAAATTAATAATAGCGAGCTAATATAATAGTTTTTTAAGATAAAAATAATTAAAAATTATATATTTAAAATAATTTAGCTATCCTAAAAGGCTTATTTTAAAAAAATCGCTAAACTTATAAATAAATAAAAAATCTATATAATATTAATAGGCTACGAAAAACTTATACCTCGATTAATTATAGCGCTTTTATATAAAATATAAAAATATTAAAAAAAAATCGGATTACTGCTATTTACGGCTATATTTATAAAGCTAAATATTATATTCGTAATAGCTAAACTAGCTTAATTCCTTAATAATTTAAGCTAAGCATATTAAAAAACTATTAATCGAGCTTTAATTTATTTAATTAATACTAAAAAACTCTTATTTAAAATCGGAGGATTTTTTAATTTAATAATTATTAATAATATATTATTTGCCGATAATAATATTAATCGCAAAAATACCTAAATATTCGCTATAAAGCTATTTAGAAAATTAATTAATTAGCGATTAAATAAATAAAATATAATTACCACTTTTATTATAAAAATTAAGTTATTTACGCTAATATAAACTGCTAAAAAATATTATTCGTTAATCGATTATTAAAAGAATTATCGATATAATTAGATAATAATATTATTATTATTAAATATAATAATAAATAAATTATTAATTTAATTAACGCCGAAATCGCGTTATTAAAAATAAAACTCCATTATATAAATATTTATAATTATTAGCTATAATAAAAAGCCTAAAACGGAAAAATTAAAATTATTTATAAACTTTTAAATAAAATAATAGCAAATAAATTAATAAAAAGCTTGCTAATAGGAAAATAGCAAAATTTTCTATAATAAATAGGATTTAAAATTACTTATTATAATTAAAATAAATAGCCCTAAAAAAAGCTATATTTTATTAATTAGCAATTTTAATTTAAATATAGCTAAATTTACGATAAATCGTAAATTTAAAAGGGTATATTAAATAGTAAATTATAATTCCTATATATTAGCATATGCTTAAGTATACGGATTAATACTATAGTATTTAAATAAATATACGGGACCTCCCGGGGATTAGCCGGGGCCACCCAAATAAGCGTATACCTTATTAAAACTAAGAGGCGCAGAATATAGATCAATATATCACACAATTGACACCAATATCAGACCAGTTTAAACTCCAATAGGAAAGCACCACCTTGATCAACAATAGGCGCCTTGATTCGCTTCTGGTATCCCAACTGGCTAAACCTCGTCATAGGCGCACTAAACATTGTCCGTAGCTCTTATTACTATACTACTGAATGTCCACCCGCCAACCCGATCAATCTGAAAGCGGGCAAGGTGAGGTTCAATGTTCCAGCACCATGATAAGGATGGCGCTAATGCGTTTATAATGGGCCACGGTTACCTGGGCCCCCCTAGGATATACAGTCGTTCTTTACTGGGACGCTCCGTCGTACCTGGGTCAGTACGTATGGGGAGATAAGGGTGCAAATCAATCATCCTTCTACCAAATCCGTGCTGCCTCTTTGCCGTTGAGATACCAAGATATTGCCGTACTTGTCCAGACCGATGCCGCCCAACAAATCTTCATTGTCAAAGCGCACAGCTGTAGCTTGCACACATGTGAGTACCTAGCCTTTGAATGAAGTAGCACCAATCCCATTCCCGAAGCCAAGTCTTTGCTAACGAGGCGGCATGACAGTGCCGCAAAGTGAGATAGAGAGATTCAGCTTCCCCATACTTGCCTCGTTGTTGTTTGTATCGCTCATTCATCCCACTGGCAGGGCAAGGCACGCTGTGTCGTGTCAATTGTTGGATCACATGATTGTGACGAATGCGTCAAGAAGAACAGGATTGTGAGTAGTCCGATCCAACCCTGCGTTACCTACTACATACTAATATTCTGCACACTGCGGAGCAATTGGCTGAGATTCGTGTATTTTATAGTGTATCTGGGTCGAGTCTAACCGTGGTAAATGGTCGCGGGCCGAAAGAAGGAAAAGAAGAGCTGATGCTGCAGATTACCATGATGAGGCGGTGCAGCAGCATAGTGATAGACCATCGGTTACTACTACTGCTGCTGCTCGCACGGCGGCACCCTCGCCCTCGGGTTACTCGCCGGGGGACATCAGCATCAGCAACGAATCTATAGGAAACGATGGCAGCACCACGTCCAAAGACATCATGGACGTGCACAGTGACTGTCATTTCAAGGTTGACAATGCCCTCTTCCCACTGGGTGTCCTAGCAGAGTACGTCTATGCGATATGCCAACGTTCCCATCCACAGCAAGACAACAGGCTGCCAGGTAGGATAAGGATGAATAGAAGCTCACTGCAGTATCGTATGTAGAGCGAGCCGACAAATGGACTCCAACGTCGACCCCCAAAGCGAGACTGTCAACAACCCGGCCAATCCGTCAAGCGGACGGTGGAATCCTAATCAGACCTTGGGAGTGGCCAACACGGCATATTTCCAGGGCGATATCCGTCAACGTAACTTCAGCATCTCCTGGCAAGTCTTTGTCGTCGTCGTGCAGCTAACCAACCACGGAAAATACAGAGCTCCTACCCAGCACGGCTCCAAAGGCTCGTCCAATCATTTTAGCTGACCAAATCATCACGTCCGCCCAGGTACTACTAGTTCCTCATTCTCACTTTTATCATGTTGCCTGCCTTGTTGGGCCATTCGCTGACCCGTTCTCCCAGGCTGAGCACTTGTTCGAAATGTATATCATCTCCCCTGCTGCTGTTTATCATGCACCATCTCACAGTTCTTAGCTTCTTTCAACGATTGAATCCCCAGCTAGGACTGCTGAGCGCAGAATTGACAACGCCTCAAGGTTGTAGTTCACGATCACCTTTTCTATTCATGTCAAGTATGCCTGCCTGTCTACTTTTCGGTCAAGATTTCATTGCTGATGAGGCTATACACAGTCTGCGCTGTGGCAGCGCGCTTCTACAATAATGGTATTCTTTACAATGTTCTCCTTCGGCATGCGCGAGAGGCGGGGCTAGAGGCAATGCTGTCGTCCAAATCGACGGCGACCGTTCAGGGCTTTGTCATACTGGCAACTTGGTCGCAACCATCAGTTTCCTACGAGACTGATAATGCCTACTTGTATGCTGGCATCGCTATTCGGTAAGCGGCACAAACCTTTACCAGAAATCCCTATTCGACGTGCCAAGTTAAGTTCTTGTGCAGCCTAGGAGTCGAGATTGGACTACATAGAAAAATAGCACTTCGCTATCCCGACAACACAGAGCCACATATCAAGAGAATGTACGTTGAGGAAGTCCTCTCAAGAGAGCGTACATGGTTTTGCGTCTTCATACTGGATCGATCAATGAGTGCCTTGACTGGCAAACCGCCACAGGCTCCAGAGACATATGCGATACGCGATGTCGATAAGTGGTGGCGCAGGTCCGAGTGCACATTGTCCGATGTCTTTATCTCCGCCCACGCGCAGCTGCTTAGACTTCTCTACCGATGCTTCGACGTCATATATTCCTGCAACGACACATTTACAGGTGTTTCTACAGGTCTCAATTATCAGGTCGTCGTCAAGGACTTGCAGTGGCGGCTGGACGAATGGGCACAGATATGGGCAAAGAACCTGAGAGATTTTGACGCCGAGCAAGCCAACGAGGAGCCGTTGGAGACGTACCTTTCCATTCTTAACCTTTCCAGATCGTTTTATAATCTTGTACCGCTCTCTTTTGGTCTGCATCATTGCACTGTGGATGGTTTCAACCGGGTAGATCAAATATCTTTTGTAACTCGATGCTACGAATGCGCCACTCGGACACTCCAGGTCGCCACAAAAGAGCTGAACCCAAATCGGGTCTTCAAGGTGGCACCCGACATTTGTGTTATTGCTGTCACATACGCTGCCTGCTTCCTGCTTAAACTCATTGGGCCGGAGTTCAAGCACATTTTCGACGAGGCTGTCGTTCTCGATCTGATCAAGGAGACTTTGAGCCTCCTGGAAAAATCATCCGAAGATGAAAGGCATACACATCACCTCCATGCAATGTTCCTGCGGAGGCACATTGACCGCTACCAAGCACAAGACTCGTCTTGTATCAACGACGCGCCCACGCAGCCAGGGCAGCAGCCGCCGCCGCAACAACAACAACACCAACACCAGCAACAACAACCCTCCTTCTTCGTTTCCAACTCAATGACTGACCTAGGAAGCACCGATGTCTGCATTGACGTTGATGGATCCATCAATTTTCCTTCGCTAAGTGGTAATGGGATAATACGTCCCACGGCGGACATGAGCTCGGATTGGATCGATACCGTGCTGGGCATGCAGAGTCGAAGGGATGACCCCTTCTCCACAGGCCTGCAGATGGCTCCGTGGAGTGGTATATTCGGAAACGACTTTACTACTGAAGGAATGTTTTAGAGTAAAAGAAAACACTAGGTAAAATTATGTCTATTAGTCTAATCGTTGGTTTCATATTCCACGTGTGTAGCATTATATCGTTTGGTAGAATTTATGCAGAGACAACACCAGTACCTGCGCCCCGAACCAACACCGCCGTCCGTCCGTACCTCGTCCAGGAGATCACGCGCACGTCGCATCGGCTGATTTATTTGTTAAAACTGTTTATTTACTAGATAAAAACGTAAAGACTAATAATATTAGTTGTAATTTGGCAAGGCCGATTGTTATTATCAATTCACCCCGTCGAATGTGTCGTTCCAAATGCCTAGGACTCGCATTTCACCGTATTCGAGCCCGATACGAAGCCCATCTAGTGCCTCGCAAGATGGAACCTCGGTGCTGATTGTGTTTAGCGTGTTTTTTCTTTTTCTTTTTCAGAGTACATAACTTCAAATTGGGATACATTAAACTTTCTTGTCGTGGCTTGGGAGAGCTATGTCTTTGTCCTCTCCTTGTCCAGTCTCCCTTGGTTTCGTTCCAATGTCTTCCTGGCTGTTGGAGGAAACCCCAAGGATCAGACCAGAGGGGCCTGTCTCTGTTGGCGTAAAAGTTCCATAGTAGTCGAAATCGTCTACTTTGCCTAGCTCCTTGGGGGGGAAGAAGTAGGATACGACATAGTGAATCAGTCCAGATCCAAAATAGCCGACGGGGTAACACTTTTACAAGTTAGAATTCGTGATTTCATGAACAGGATATCCAGCATGTGGTACTCACAAGGTAAAACAGTCTGGACCAGGCGACGCTAACCGAAATACTCGGTGTGATGTTGTGTATATACCCAGGGAGGAAGAAGAAAAAGCCAAGGCAAAAGCTGATGAGTGCTCGGCTTTTTTGTTCTCTATCAGCTTTTTTCTTTCTCTTATTGAAGGAGAAAGAAATGGTTAATTTCACTTACATGCTGAGTCCGTGGTAATACCAATATGAGGAATCTGGGCTAGGGGTGTAGAGGTCTCGCAGAGAGATTTTCCGCCGCCGGACCAAGTAATACTCGCAATGGAGTATGCCAGCTAGCATCAAGCGGTCAGAAAGGAGACTGAACAAATATCAAAACAGGGGCCAGGGCTTTGACTCACTCAAAGGTGCCAAGAAAATCGCGTAGGAACCCATGACGGCCAGGAATTTGCTATTGGTATTTGACAGGGTCCACGGTTGCAGTGCTATAAAAGATGTTAAAGAGACCGGTACGTGCGAAAGGTAATGCGTTTGTAGATTTACCTATTCCAATCACGAGGACAATGTACCCTCCACGGCGGATGTCGATAAACTTTGGCAATAAGCCTGACATGTCGACTGTGACGCGCGGATCAGTTGCTAGAACAAACGAGATGGCGGTTTTTTATCATTGGCTCTTACCTCCTCCAGCAATACTGCTGCCCGAGACTGTAATTAGGACCTGTGACATCAAAATGGGAACCGATGCGAAAAAGACAGCCGCTCGTGCAGCAGGTGCTTCGTGCATTTGGATTTGAGTTAGAAGCAATGCTTGGTTCCACACAAGCCCAGCATCTGGGTAAATTGTGGCACAGCAAGATGAACAGATGATGCCCATGATACCCTGTTTTATCACCCAAGTATATTAGCTTTCGGTGAATGATCACGCAGTTTTGAGAATAATATGTATATCTACGTACCGAGAGGGTATCGGAGAGGGCCATTCCCAGACCCTGCGGCCAGCGTTGCGCCCCGGGAGTTTTTGAGTAACGGCCCCAATCGGCGAAGCCGAGAATACCCGTGGACTGACTTGCAATAACGGTGGTCAGACCGTGCATGAAGGCCCATCCGAGCTCGCTCCCAGTAGCCGGTTCCACCGAGAGCAACGCTGTTGTGTCCTTGAACAGAGCCCCCGGTCCGGCGGCTCGGTGGGAAAACCATCCAACAAGAGCCAGTGCCGTGACGAGATTGACAGCAGCAGTGATGATGGATGGCCAGTGGAATCTTTCGGGTCGAACCAAGACGCCGGCAACGCACAAGACAACGAAAATGAGCCAAGCAACAAATTCGCCCAATGTCATTGGGACCGAGTCAGGAAACGTGTTGGGAATCGAGTAAAAGGAAGGCCAGATGGAGCCGATAGTCGCTCGGACGCCTTTGATTCATGTTCCATTAGCATTTTTGACTTCATAGTAATTGTGGAATGAAAAGAACAGCTTACACATCATTCCAAGCCAGGACTCTGTTGCCCACCAGACACAATTCAATACAACTCGATTGAGCGTCGGGAAGAAGGCCCCCCTCATGCCCCAAACGAATCTACTCGCTACTGGAAACCCAACATGCCATTTGCCACCACTTGATCGATTTGTGTTTGGTAAGTACGGCGTCGTCCCGAGCTGCCCCACCATTGGAAGTTGGACTCACATCTCAGAACCCAGCATAGTCAAGATGCCAACGCATGCGTACCCGAGAACCACACATATGATTGGCTGCCAGGCGTTCAGCCCAAGCCCAAGGAGACTGGATCCGGTAGACCAAGTCACGATGATGATTCCAACTCCACTTTGGTAGCTGAAGTAGGTCCACCCATTCCACGTGCGCCGATGTGGAGGAATCGGTCGAATCTGGCAGTTTGTGTTCAACATGTGTTCCACCGGGGATGCGTGACTGTATTGAACTTACATCCTCATTATACCAGGCCGATACGGTATTGCCATCTTCATCCTTGACCGCGATTGTGTCTAGCACCGCCTTGAATTTCTCCATGTTGTGCCGTGGTTGCAGGAGCTGTAGGAGAATCCCGTCCTGATCTTGTATAGGATGGCAGCACTACATAGATTGGGGGCTCCATCAAGGTCTTGAGTTTATGTATCGCAGTTGTCTAGTATGTAGGCAAACTCTCGTCGATCCAAAAAAAGGTCGAGCGAGATAACGAGGCTGTTGTATCTTGGCCTACCTATCTTTAGCTGATTTCTATAGGCGCTATCTGCAACCTCGACCAATTAGACACGGTTCGGCTTCTTGTTAGTCAATATCAGCCAACCGGCTTTATAAACCAGAAGAGACCCGCCCGTGTAAGAAGCCGGTCCCTTGTGAGACGCTACCTACTATCGCGAGTCCCTGGCTACTTACTGGCTAGGCATGTGCCGGCAAAAGAGAAGGCGGAGTGGTGGGTGGATGACAGATATGATTGGCTTGTGCGATACCAACCAATGTGTCTATGGGTAGGGTAAAATGTCATATGTTGAAGGAACCCATCCAAGACGAATGAATGTCTAGATTTCAATCAAGTGCTTCGTTCCTCTTTCTCTCTATCTTACTCTATTCCCATCTCTCGCTTGTGTATCAGCAGGAAATTGATCGACGTGCACTGCAACGACAAGGGAGAAAAAAAAGCAGAGGAAGAATAAGCAAACACCAACAAGATGGCTTTGCTCGACACCATCATGGCGAAGCCCGAGATCCTACTACACATTGGTATAGCTTTAATGACAGTTCTGTTGAGCACAGCTGTGTTCAAAGTCGTCCTCGGATTCAAGGCTTTGAAGGACTATCGCGTTTTCTGTACGTGCTCAGAACTTGACACACAAACATGCGCAATATACATTTTCGCTGACCATCAGTTCTCTTCCCAGTTAATCAGCACAGCGAGTTCTACAAGCATTGCTCATCCATGAAAGCACGCACCTTGTATATGCGACTCCCAGTTCCATGGTCGAGTGAGACGACGTACTATTTGCTGGACCACGAGCCGATGCGCAAGCTCTTTGCACGAGCCCCGAATCTGGATGCTTTTGCTCTGGCACGCCGTCTCCATTACAAGGTCTGGGGTGTTCCACCGTAGGTATAAGTTAAAAAAACAAGGAAACAAAATGAATGCTCAGAAGACGAAGAATAATAGAGACTGACTCACTCGGGTAGGCTCGCATACAAGGACACCCTTAGAGAAGCAGCCAAGCAGATCCATCGAGAACTTTCGGCAAAGAACCTCGGTCCCGTCTCCGAGTCCTTTGAGAAGGTGATTCTGCAAGACATCAACAGCCTGAAAGCAAGCTTGGGCCAGGGCCGGCGAATTCCGTTCCATACAACATTTTACCGCCTTGCATATGCCGGGAACCAAAAGGCCATCTACGGCCCCAATCTCCCCATTCGAGAGACTCGCGTGGCTCTCCAGAACTTTTCCATCTACTTGCGCTACTTGAACACGACCCCGTCGCTGCCTCTTCTCCCTACCGAGTGGTGGAACCGCATCGTCCCCAAGGCGCGGCGCGGCGCCGAGGCGAGAGACAAGGTCACGAATGCCCTGATAAAGTGGCAGAAGGAAGGCGGGGTCGACACCTGTTCTGAAACCTGGAGGAACATTATGAAGATTGTCTTGGATAAAAAGGTTGACATTGTTCACGCCAACCGATGGGTCAATATGGTGGTAAGTAGCAGTCACCGTCCCCAAGCTGTTGCTGTGTGGCTTTCAAAGATATCTAACTCGGAGAACAGCTGTTCGGTTTTCAGGGCAACACGGTAAGAGAGAGTGTAGTGGAGTTTAGTGTTCCTGTGGCATTCTGACAAGAGAATTCGCTGCTAGGGAGAACAACCAGGCTGGGGTTTCCTCCACCTGCTGCAGTCACCCAAGCTGTGGAAAGCCATCAAGGCCGAAGTGGATGCACTGCCGGCCGACTCTCTCGTCGGCGTTGACTTCCGCCGCGCGGCGCCTCACTTGTACTCGGCCATCCACGAGACCTTGCGCCTATCCACGGCCGTCTTTGCCGGGCGCACCACGACGCAGCCCACCAAGATTGAGGGCTGCGACACCGTCTTCCCCAAGGGCGTGCTGATCAGGATCATGAGTCGGGCCTCGTCCTTTGATTCTTCCGTGTGGGGTGACAACGCAGACTGCTTTGTAGGAGATCGGTTTCTCAAGAATGAGTCCTTGTATCGCGAGGAACTCTTCTTTGGCGGAGGTGTTTCGGGTGTGTTCTCTTGCTCCTTGCCCCTCCCTTTCCCCAGGCGAAGAGGACTATATAGTCGAGAGACTGACACCCGTCGATTGCCGATATTACAGCTTGTCCCGGTCGTCACTTTGCAATGGTTGAACTCGAGCTCCTCATGTCGCACTTGATCCGAAATTTCGAGTTCGACGCTTCCAGCCTACAAATGTACTCCAAGCTGAGCCCTGAAGCCGAGGACCTCGAGCTTGGTTGCGCCGTGGAGAAGCCAAGGTATACTTGCGAAATCATTGGCTTGGACGGTACCCGAATCACTGGCATATATCCTGGCGTAGCGGATGCCGACCGCTGTAAGTCTGCCAACCACAAAATTATGACCTGCTAGCAGGCTGCTGACCCATTTCGATCCCCAAAGGCATGGAGAGCGTTAGTGGATCTCTATACCCGCTGCAGGAGTCAACTTGTGTGCTGACACCACGCACTTGGTAATAATATGCTCCACGCTGGCATCAAATGATTGCCTGGGCTGAGGGTTGCATGTGATTTCGTCTTGTTGGCCGAACTAGGCATTCTGTTTCGGTATTATGCCAAGTATAAGCCCAGCACGTCAACATTCGACAGTTGTTTCGGGCGCTTGATCCAGGGAGTGTTATCACGCTATGAGGGGACATACTTTTAGTCATAAGAGGCCCATTGAGATTGATGGAGGAGTCGCAAGGCTGTAGTTAATGCTTTCACCAGATAGTAGCAAATAGAGAATTTGAAAGCTCCATAGCTATGGCACAGAGAGCACACATACAGTGTAGGCATAAGACGTGAAGCAACATACCGGGCTGCAATGAATACACATTTTTGCTAGCATGATGACTGATGACTCATTTTGATGTAACGTGGCTCAAGTCCTTCTTTTCCCTCTCTCTCTCTC